TATGAGACACTAAAAAACAAAAACAATACTGATAAATAACAATAAAAACAAGCTTTGCACCATTAGAAAAAATACTGAATATTAATAAAATTAAATTGACAGTAACTATTAAAGGTGTACCTATAACTCACTTTTGATCCTCCAAAATGGTTCAGCAATAAAATCTTCAATTGCTTGATACCTTTCAACAACAAATCCTAGTGTTGGAAACTGACATGATCCATAACTGATCAGTTTATCAGCCAATTTCTGTGGAAATACCTTTTGGAGTCTTAGAGTCTGTAATCTGGTAAAAGCAGCACCTAGAAATTAAATGTCTAAATTGTCTGATCACATAAAATTGCACAAACCTATCTTAAATTAAACTAATGGAGTTTACTTTTTGAATGGATTCAAAATACATTTTTAATAGGGATACCATGTATCTAATATATACATATCTTTATACAGGGTGTTTCCGAAAATAGTGCGTTCCTTAAAGATATAGGTAGAACCATGAAGAGCAAAAAAAGCCTTATAACATTTTTTTCTAAATTCAGTCGTTTTACCAAAAAACGCAAATACATTTTAGTATCCAAAAAGAAATCTTTCAACTACGAATAGTAGATGTTGCTCATAGAACATTTCAGTAACAACTTCTACATCTCTACCACTATCAGAGAGTACAAGATTTAGACCAAGGTGATCTTCTTCAAAGATTAACATTTTGTCTTGACCAACCATTTGTATCTCATGCTGTTAGAGAATCATCTTTATTTTCACCATATAAACAGGCGAAAAAATGTTCATCAACGACAGTGAACAAAGATGGCTCGGCTTTCTCACTGAGAAATAATGCTGCTCCGTTAGCTAACTCAGGATGTGTCTGTAAAATTTTGATAAATTTAAGTTTGCCGATCTTGTAAGCTACTAATGTTGTGATGGATCCTGAAAAAGCATGGAGAAACAGCAAATTCTCTGCAATAACGTCACCATATACAAAACGTCAAGTACAGTATAATTGATGCGACTTACACCATTTTCAAAGTTTAAAAAATTGAACATTTGGACACACAACATTGGACTGCTCCCTTCCTAACGCAATGAACAAGACGAGAATGTCAATGTCCTCTGCTACGGCAGTCACAGAATCATAAATTTAGAATGCAGCAAGTGCAGAATGGATGATGACTGTATCTGCATCAGATTCAGCCTGATCCACACTAAAACCCACTTCTGATAGAGCAGTTTTGAGAAGGTCTATTGAATTTGTTTTACTCTTTGCATTACCAAGAAATTCATATTAAAATAATATTGATACGGTGCTCTTATTACTCTTTATTTCTATCGATTGGTGATTTTTCTTGCAACACCGGCATATGAGATAAGGTAAGATTTGTGATGACGGATTGGATTAATAATAAATTAATATCGGAACGTTAGGAAAATAATAAACTCATTTAAAATGATATGTATAAAAAATATATATAATGGAAAACTGCATCTAATGGTTTGTATTTATTGAATTCTTACAAGTACTCAAGAACTTGGTCAACTTCAGCGCTCTTTAAAACCCAGAAAACTTATTGAAATTATACAAATTTGTAGCGATAATGATTCGTTGCAAATCCCATATAATATTTCTTTGGCCTAATCTTATTGTAAAACAACTAAAAAAAGTTTTTGTTATTTTTGTTAATATTTTTTTTATTTTCCATATTACCATAAAAAGTAGGTAATATGAATAATTTTGTAAACAATTTAATTTGGTAAAAATAATGTCTGATCAAATTTTTTGTAGGGCTGCTAGTTTACGAGATACAGTGTGAAAACACTTTGCACCCCCTATTTCAAGATGGCGGCGTAAAGAAGGCTTAAAAATGTGACATTTCAATGGACGAACATGGCAGCAGTAAAAGAAAAATCTTAATAAGTCTGTTAGATTTATTAATTAAAATATATAAACATACACACCTGTCCTTAAATCCAACTCTTGCCTTACATCAACTGCATCACTGACATTCTTATTTGGTTGACCTAGCGTTTGTAAAGCTCTGTGAACTGAGGCTCCAGTAATTTCAGAAAATTTAGCTCTGTATATTCTGAGATTTGGCTTTATATCTGTACAGACATTTATAATTTCAAAACCTATATTTTCCCCTTCTCTATCACAATCTGTCCATATTATTAGACCATCACAACTTCTTATTTCCCTTTCTAAAGTTTTCTTAAAAATAAAGATGGATATTAATAGCAAAAGAAGATAGATAGAGGCAATATGCTTTAAATATTATTTAAATGCACTCTACATATTAAGAGTAATACATACATACATACATACATAGAAACCCTAGTATTCAATGGCTTTTCTAAATCATTTTTTTTATTTCTACCTTGGTTGCATTTCCACTATAATACATATACTTATGTGCACAATCCACTATTTCTGTCCATTCTTTTTTATCATTCTATTCTTTCCCATTAGCTCTATCCTTGTTACATCTTCTTAAACATATTCTCTCTATTACAACTTTATATTCTTCTAAAGAAGTACTTATATTTTCTTGTTCTCTTCTCAATATGTGCCTATGTTTTTATTACTCCATAATATGACTCGCTATGCTCTTATTACTCTAATTATGAGTTCATTATCCATCCATTCTTCATCTCAATGTTCATTCTTGTCTTCCTATAGTCTTGTTTGCTTCTTCTGCTTTGCGTGCCATATCAGAATTATCCGACATTGGCAATCACCACTGTCAAGGCTTCTCGATCTTCTGCAATATGGAATAATTGTCCTGCATTTGATCACGTACACTCATTTACAAGTATATAGTCTATTTGATTTCTTAAGGAGTCAGGGTTATTGGTGTTTGCAATGATCATATCATTTTCTTTACAAAATTCATACAATTTCTGTCGTTGATCGTTAGGTTATCCTAGACCAAAAGGACCTACAGTCTGACCCAATTTTTGCATTGAAATCGCCTATAATATATAAAATTTCGTGTTTATTAAGTTTCTGTAAGATGTCTTGGATCTAATCATACAACTTCTCGACTTCATTGTTATATTTTTTATCCACAGTTGAGGCATAGATTTGAAGTATGTTAGTTTTAAATGGTTGAGTATTTATTTAGAGTAATATTATTCTATTAGAGACTGGTAAGAAATTGGTCACATATTTACTCAGTTCTGATGTTACTAATATACCTACACCATTTTTGTGATGCGGGTATTCTGTGCTGTTACTGGAATAATATAATACAGTTCCATCTTTTTTACATGATCCTGACTCTGGCCTTCATGTTGTTTGCTACCATTGTCATATCATATAATGCCATATCATATTTTATTATTTTGCTATTAAATGTTTTTATTTGTTCTTCCTTTCTTGGAAGGAGAATAATTATTTTCAAAAAAAAAAAACAAAACCATTTTTTGGACCATTAAAGATCTTTTGATCTCTAAATATTATTTTTCAAGCCCAGTTGAATTTTCCTTTTGAGAACTAGTTTTTCACTTAATCTGTATTAAGCCAGATTATAATGTGACTATTTTTTTTATCAATGGTGGTTTCTTTTTCTAATGATAGGTACTTATTAGGTTTTTATTATATGAATTGATTTTGAATCCTCAATATAGCTTTGATTGAATTTCTATTAGGTACAGTTATTTACATATTAAGTGACATACACATTGGAACACTTATTATAAATTATTATATTTTTTTCCCCAGTTTATGGTGCTGGTAAAGCCAAAAGGCCAGTGAAAATACTTTGTATAGTTATACAGGGTAGCAAAATAAACAGTAAACAAACAATCTAAATTTCAATATAATTGAAATAACTTACAGGGGTAAATTAATTAATAATTTGTTTATGCACCTCAGTGAGTGATGCACATTGGACATTATTTTACTTAATATGACCCAATAAACTATTATAGGTGTAAAATATATATATTTATATTCACCTTGACTTTTATATAATTCTCTGGACAAGTTTTAACAATGGGGGCATCAAATAAGGCAATAGGATTACACCCTCTCCAGTTTCTGTATGCTCCAGTAAATTCATATTGTAGCAAGTGGCCAGAAACAGATGTCATGACCATGAAAGCAGGCTCGTTAAGAACTGTTGTATTAAATTCATATATCTTGTTATATGGGGATATACCTTCTCTCTAATAACAAAAAATTATTTATTAGCATATACAATTTTTTATGAAATTATTCAATAAATATATGGCATTACTAAACTCTCTATTGTACTACTATATTATAAATTAACACTACAAAAATTTAATAAGAATTGCAATTTTCAAACATAATAAAATGTAATAATAACATAGAATAAGCAAATCATGCCTAAATAGAGTCCTTTAGTGACAAAGTGAAGTTCAGGTCAATTCCAAATAATTTAATAAAAGTAAATAAAGACATGAAAACTAGAAGGACATACATGTCCAGAACATTCAGAATAGAAACATTAAAATTTAAAAAGTTACAGGGATACAATATTAATCAACTTTAAGAATTACCCTTGTAGATCCCCCTCTAGATAATAAACTAGCAATATTTTTTGCGGCATCATTCTTTTCAGCTACATTCAAATATTTCGTGGGCATTTTCTTTGTATTCTGGCTATATTTTCTGACATTTACACACAAGTTCACATTTTTTAGAATCCTAAATAAAATCATTTGAGCTTACATTTTTAATTAAATAACTATAAATAAACAAGTTTGAACTAGACTGAAATGTTTGTAAAGGTTATATTTTGGAGGTAACTATTATTCTTCTTTTGCAATTATTAACATAAAGAAAGTGAACTATGAATAAGAATTTGGGTTTGAATAGAATTCTGGTGAATAGATACATCTATAAAAATGTAATAGTAATAATTAGTTTTGTTTTCAAAATTGTATTCTCAAACGAAGTAACGTTATTTTAATGAAATTAAATGCTTTTAAAAGAAGAGAAAATGTTGACATTGACAAATCTGTCATAAAAGACAGATGGTGGAGAAATGTCAAGGGTAGTGTGTGTGGATTATTAAATTGAGAAATCCTAATTTTTAAATTAAAATAAGAACTATAAATATTTAAACATGGGTATCTTAGAAAAAATCTCGGAAATAGAAAAGGAAATTTCAAGAACTCAAAAAAATAAAGGTATTATAGAAGATATTGTGCAAACATTCTTTCTAACCTATTTTTTTGTAGCAACGGAATACCATTTGGGTCTTTTAAAAGCAAAATTAGCTAAATATAGATCTCAATTATTAGAACCATCTAAGAAATCAGAAAAGGGCGAAGGGTTTGATGTATTAAAAAGCGGAGATGCCAGAGTTGCACTTATAGGGTTTCCTTCTGTAGGAAAGGTAACAAACAGTAACTTGTCTTTAAAAATTGATGTTATATATTATTTTAAATATGTTTCAGTCTACTCTACTTTCTACGTTAACAAAAACTGAAAGTGAAGCTGCTTCTTATGAATTTACAACTTTAACTTGTATACCAGGTGTTATAGATTACAATGGTGCTAATATACAACTATTAGATTTGCCTGGTATTATAGAAGGAGCAGCACAAGGAAAAGGAAGAGGTGAATGTTTAGATTGCTATTTATTTATTATTTAATTCTGCAAATCTCACAAGTGGCATATTTTACAAATATTGTTGTTTTGTGAGTGCTGTATTTGAAAAAGTTGTAGTGACTGATATAAGTTAGAATATGTTTTTATCTGTCCAATTTTTTCCCATTTTGTTAGGCAGCGAATTTTGTATAAGTGCCAAATTATTTGCAGTAAAATGAAATAAGGACTGAGATTTAATTGGATTGTTCAATAAAGATACAAAAAATATTAATCAGATATTTCAACTAAAGTATACTGAAGTTTGCTTCTTTTTTAACAGAAAAGCTTGTATTGTTTTTGCTAATATCGCACCCTCAGTGCAAGACTGCAGTAACTCAAAATTTTATGAAAATGAAGTAATCATGGAATTCGATTGTAAACATGCATATCTATCCCCTGTAAAACTTTAGTAACTTTCAAATGCTTAGCCAGGTAAATATTACAACAGTTTAACTATTTTGGGTTTTTGTACATAAGTTCCGTGCAAAACTGTCGTAATTCTAATGTAACAGAGTTACAACAATTTTGCATGGAACATTGCAATGGTTTCGATAACAAGCAATGAAAGGCACGAAAAAAGTAAGATATTTGTTATTTTAATATCTATATCTGTGGTGTTTCATTTTAATAAACAGCGTGTCTATGTAACCCATTAACGGCTGAGACAATAAACAAAGATTTACGAGACCAATCTATTCATGTAAGTTTTTTTGTCCTTTGTGTGACATTATATTTTCCATAAAACATGTGCGATGTCGTTTGACCATTTGTTTAGATTGGATTAAAAACAGATAAATTAAGACTAACTATTTACAAACAAAAAGTATTTTTTCTTATGAAAGGAAAAGGGAAAAACAGTTATCTTAAAACTTGTGAATTAACAATACTGACAAATTAAAAATATCTATTCTCAGAAAACTTGTTCTATAAAAAAAACCACTAAAACTAAATCCCAAATTTTACTAAATCTTCATGTAACCTTCCAGGGTGATTATAATTCTAATAAATATATCGTAATTACGGAGGTAGTGAATTTCAATCCTTTTGTTAATCACTGTACTCAAAGTAGCCTGATCTGCATATTTATTATAGTCCTTTTGTTTTTAATTTAAATAAAAATATTGAAAGTTTTACAAATCATTTTTCTAGCTTGTTATGACATTGCCATTACAAAGCGAAGGAATTGTGGCTGTCAGAAACATGTGCAGAGATAGAAAGATTAAATTGCCACTAGCGATAAGCTGTTTTATTAGGTACCTATTTATTCTAGGTATTACTATTGAGGATTATTTTTTCTTTACTTACCCGATGATTTATTGGAATTTATTAAATGTATCAACCAAACCCTGGGAATTACTTTCCCTTTATCTACCAGGTGATTTCTGGGAATCAAAATGAAATTAAGTTGAATAAATGGTCAACTTTGTGGGTCAACATTTTTGTGAGTATATACTGACTGAAAAAATTCTGCAAGCAGGTCAGAGAGATCTGGACCCAACTGATATTGTTTATTGTTAAAAAATAATATAGGTAGTTATTTATTTCCATTTCGCAACTGACATTGTTTATTGTTAAAAAATAATATAGGTAGTAATTCAAAATTCAAATAGCACATTTTTGGTAAAACTTTACATTCAGTGCGCAGTCTATCATAGTAAATACAATCATTTTTATTTGACCCTGAATTCTTCTATTTTATATGAGCCTGTTTCTTCCTTATTGTAGGTTGTTTTACTCTGGAGAAAACCTTGGTGGAAATTTTCTTGTTGATACTTTTTTTATGGAATAGTAATATGAATAAAAGAATATAATTATGACATATAATTATGAACACTGCATCTGCTATTACAACTTATATACCATATAATGGCATTTTATACAAATAATTTGTGTTTGGTGAATTGTATTTAAATTGACTGAAAATATTTTTTATTTTAGGGAGACAAGTAATAGCAGTTGCAAGAACAGCAGATTTGGTTCTTATGATGTTAGATGCAACTAAAAAGGATGTCCATAGATCGTTACTAGAAAGAGAATTGGAGAGCGTAGGAATAAGACTCAACAAACAAAAACCTAATATTTATTTTAAGGTAACATACAGTATTTTAATGCTTTTTTCCAACTTGTTTCCTTTCAGTTTTTTCAAGACTGTATATCTATATGCAACTATAGTAATATAACTTTCATTATGTAGTAAATTTATATAACTGTTAATTTCAGATCAAGAAAGGTGGTGGCATTTCTTTTAACTCCACTTGTCCATTAACCAAAATAGATGAAAAACTAGTGCAGATGATATTGCATGAATACAAAATTTTTAATGCTGAAGTTTTATTCAGAGAAGATTGCACTGCTGACGAACTAATAGATGTTATTTGCGCTAATAGAGTATATCTACCATGTCTTTATGTTTACAACAAGATAGATCAAATCTCTATTGAAGAAGTCGATAGAATAGCTAGACAACCTAATAGTATAGTTGTAAGGTGAGTTTTTAATGTGCGGTTTTGTTTCAATTCCATTGCATAATAAGCGATGATTTGTAGAGACAGTGAACTTTACTTTACTTAGTGACATGGCAATTACTCAACACGTATTTTCTACAATAAACCAATAGACTGCTATTTAAATTCATGTCATTATGACTACGTAGCGTTGCCTAATTATCTAAACAGTAGAGGCTTACAATAAAACTTATGTCATCTATTTATTGCATAGTTGTGAATAATAAAATTATCTAGATTATTTTGTACATATAAATAAAGAAAAATGTTCTTCAAGTACCTTCTTCGTTCTGAAGATTAGCAATGTCAAAGCTATGCATGTTTTCGAGACTGCTGCTCTAGATAGTTGATTATTGGTGGTATTCAACCATTCACATAAATTTTTGTAATCATGAATGTCTTCTTGTTCTTGCTGTTGTTCTTCCACTTATCCTTTCTTGCATTATAAGTTGAGGTAATTGATATTATTTTCTCTCATGATATGTTACAGGTATAGCAGTTTCCTCTTTTTAATAGACAGTACAAGTTTCTTCTATTTCTATTGTTCTTCCTAAGACCCTGGCATTGTTAATTCTCTGCATACATGAAATTCGTAATATTCTGTGATACACCCAGAGCTCAAAAGTTTTTATTTTGCTTCACATTGTTTTCTTTAGTGTCCATAATTCCATGCTATAATACAACACTGACTAAATATAACATCTCATAAGCCATTTAGTTTTTAGTTGAACTATAAAATACTGCTCCAGGTTTTTTCAGGTCAGATGTTTATTCCAAGAGAACTGGCTACTTTATCAATACAAAGAGTACCTAAATAATTGTACTTTCTCACTTTTTTACAAGCATAAATTTGGTTTTGTTTGTTTTGAGTGATAGTCTATACTCCTCAAGTGTTCCAGCTCTCAGCACTGTATCATCTGCATATCTTAGATTTTTAATTGCATTTCCGTTAATTTTAATGCCATATTACTTACTTACTTTATCGTGTCCGGACATGTCATTCATAAAATTTCGGCCCAGTATCGGGCTACGTCGCATCGGTTCCATCTTTGTTGGCGAGCCACAAATCTTCAAGGGTACATCGATGAGGACAGTTTCTGCATGTAAGAAGATGTTCCATATTCTGTGTTTCATATCCACAGTCACAGTTCACATCATCTTGGTCTATTTTTCCCCATTTTGCCATGTTTGATTTTACTGTAGCAACCCCCGTTCTTATCCTATTCAAGGTTTTCCACGTTTTAAAGTCTAGGGTGTGGCCGGTCCATTGAACCTGGGGAAGTGGAAAATACTCAGGCGGTTCATCCTGCACTGTTCCAAGGAAGGTTTTCGTAGATTTTAGTCGCTTTCGTGGTGTTCGAGCTTTGTATAGGGCATGCCGATCGTCCGCGATCTGTTTAATTTTCTCTATGTGTTCTGCAGCGCCTCTATGTGTTGAGGGTTCTGCAAAACCCGCTGCTCTATATAGATTTGAAAGTGGCCTTGGTTTCATGCACCCCGTTACTATCCTGCATGTCTCATTTAGCGCAGTATCAACTTGTTTGGTGTGGGCAGATCTGCTCCAAACGGGGCACGCATATTCAGCAGTTGAGAAACACAGTGCCTGTGCCGTTGTTCTTAAAACGCCAGGACGTACGCCCCATTTACTTCCCGTTAGCTTTCTGAGTATGCTGTTCTTAGTTGTTACTTTCCCTCTTGATTTTATGCAATGTTGTCTGTAGGTGAGGGACCGGTCCAGAGTTACTCCAAGATATATAGGTTGATTTGTGTGTTCTAATGCATTACCATTCCACACAATTTGGAGTTTTCGCTTGGCTTCCTTTGTGCGAAGGTGGAAAGCGCAGGACTTGGGTTTTAGAGGGATTGGGTCTCAGAGAATTCTGCAGGTAGTACGCTGTCATTGTTTTTAAGGCAGTTTCGAGTTCTCCTCCACTTCTTCAAAACTATTTCCTTGAGCACATATTGCAAGATCGTCAGCATAGAGGAAGTGCTTGGTTTCGGTCGGAGTAGGTTGGTCGTTTGTGTATATATTGAAGAGCATTGGTGCTAAAACACTTTCCTGTGGGAGGCCGTTTTTTTGAACTCTCCACCTACTTACTTTACCCTCCAGCATAACGAAAAAACGTCTATTTTGCAGTAAGGAATATACGACCTTTCCCAGATGGTGATCATTGAGAGTGTCGTATAATTTACGGAGCAATGTTTTGTGCCTTACTGTGTCATAGGCTGCTGTCAGATCTACAAAAGCAGTCCCTGTTATAAGTTTTTCTTCAAAGCCCTCTTCAATGTGTTCTGTTAATGCGAGGACTTGACCGGTGCAAGATTTGCCAGGTCTGAATCCTCCTTGTTGTGGGATGAGGTGCTTGTCGACATTTTTTTCTATTCTGGCGAGTATGAGTCTCTCGTATAGTTTAAAAAAGTGACACAATAGCGAAATAGGTATGTAGCTACTGGGGTCTTCTGGATCCTTTCCTGGTTTTAAACAAGGCTATTACTTTAGATTTTCTCCATGATTTTGGAATTTTGCAGGTTTTGCAGCACATGTTATAAAATTGCAAGATCCAGTTTTTTGCTCCTTGGCCTAAATGCTTTATTTGTTCACTGCATATATCATCCACACCTGCAGCTTTCCCGTTTTTTAACCTGTTCAGACCGTCGTGGAATTCTTTTAGTGTAAAAGGAGTTCCTAGGTGGTTGGTCTCCGAATCCAATCTTCTAGTGTTTGGGTCCTTATATCGGTTAGTAGTTCTTCCATTCGTAAGGAGTTGAGTAGCGACTTGGTTTGCTGTAACCTTGCAAGGTGGTTTATGTTCTTTTGGATCACCACTGAGTTTTTTTACAAGGTTCCATGCTATTTTGCTACTATGTGTCATGTCCATTTTTTCCAGGGTCTCAATCCACTTTTCCTGTCTGGCTTGACTTAGCTGTTGGAGTAGTACTGCTCCGCAGTCAACCGTTTCTTGGCTAAAAGGGTCAGTGGAATAGAGGGTTTCGTATGTTCTCATTAGTTCTTTGGACTCGCTGGACATCCCGGGAACATATTGTTGTCTACATCCTCTAGGGATAGTTTTTCTAGACACATTTTTTTAGACACATTTTTGAGTACCTCTACGAATTTTTCGTAGTTCTCTACTTTTGGTTCAAGGCGTAGTAGTTCAAAATCTAGCATGTCTGCATACTTTTGCCAGTTTGCCTTTTTGAAGTTAAATCTCCTTCTGAATGGAATAGCTTGTGGTCTGACAATTGGGAAGATATTTATACCAATTGGTCTATGCTGAGTTTTTGGTATGGGGCCATATACTACTTTGGTACATCGATCTTCGAGGTTGTTGCTTGAAAAACAGATATCCGGGTTGTATCCTCTTTTCCAAACTTTGCTATGAAAAGATGGTGGAAGTTTAGGATCATGGATTAACGTGAGGCCACTCGTTTCGGCCCATGCTTCTACTGCGTCTCCATTTGCATCCGAATCTGCATAGCCCCAGAGTAAACTGTGACTGTTAAAGTCTCCCAGTATAAGCTGATTGGCTAGCCATATTACTGACTAGCGCATGTTCTATTCATAATATACATTTTGAAAAGAATTGAAAAGCACACAAGACTGACGAAACAGAGCTATGCGACAGTTCTGGAACTGCAGAACTGTTGCATAGTTCTGTTTTAGTCATTTATAAAAAAGCAATCTTTATATTTAATGTGATTTACAACATAGTAAATAAAAAGGGCTGAATGAAAATTTCTTCTATTATCCAGTCGCTGAACTTTAACACAAGTTAACATAGCATTATAGGAAATCATGTATGGATAGATACCAAACGTTCTGACATAAAGAAACCTCAAGAATCGTTTTTCGAAGCCTTTTCAAACAGATCAACATTAAATTCGGCTTGTGGTGCCTATATAATAGAAACATACTCCATGTGAGGTCTTACCAGTGCATTGTATAATGATATTAGAGTTACCGGATCAATGATGATTCGGTAATGTTCATTAAATCTCAAATTTTGCTGAAACATTACTCCAAGAACTTTGCAAGTGTTCTTTCTTTCAAGTACAGTGCTAGAAATTTTATATTGGTTCTCCATGTATTGTGTTTTTCGAGTGGCAGTAAAAACATGACATTTAGAAGTGTTTAGAAACATTTTGATATCATCGAACCATTGACTTACTGAGTTCAGATCACATTGCAACATCTCAGAGTCCTGCAGAGTTGAAATTTCTCAGAAAATCTTAATATCATCTGCAAATAGCAGGCTTGTCGAAAACATTACACAGTGAGGCAAATCGTTAATAAATATAGTGAACAGAAGAGGACCCAAGTTGATTTAACCTATCACAAAGATATGACCTCATAAAAATACATGCTTCTGAATCAAAATCAAATTTGCTTAGTTATTCAATAAGTATAGAGTGATCAATCTTATTAAAAGTTTTGGTACAGTCGGAAAAATGACATGCAGCTGAGTTTTATTATTTATGGCCCCTGCTGCAAAACTTGTAAAAATGCACAAATTTGACATAGTGGACTTCCCTGGTAAAAAACCTGACTGGGTACTGACTGATCAATGCATGTATTTTTCATATGTTGTCTTCAGATTGCTCACTCTTATATAAGCTCCAGGAAAATAGATTTTGATCAAATGTACCGGCTATTGCGGAAACGGGAGTGTATTTTGAAACCAACGAAAAAACTGTTTTTTTAGTCTTGAGGATTATTAAGTGAACTGACGTATCATTTCTAACCCCGATAGAGTTCATTCTAATTCCTCTTCTCTAATATTTTTAATAATTTTTAGTTGTAACATGAAGCTGAACCTCGACTACCTTCTGTCGACCCTTTGGGAATACCTTAGTTTGATAAGAGTATACACAAAGAAACCAGGCCAGCCACCAGATTTTTCGGACGGACTTATTCTGAGGAAAGGAGTTAGTGTAGAGCATGTATGCCATGCGATCCACAGAACATTAGCTCAACAATTCAAGTATGCTCTCGTCTGGGGTACTAGCACCAAGTACTCTCCACAGCGTGTTGGTACCAGTCACGTGATGCATGATGAAGATGTTATCCAAGTTGTTAAAAAATAAAGTGCTTTTTTATTGTATGGTTATTGATAATATTAATTAAAATTCTTTTTTTTTTAATTAAATTCGTGTTTTTCTTAGAATTTTGACAATGATCCATTATGAAAAATGTATTTACCTTCTACTACTACATAATGTATAAATGTATTAAGACTATTTACCTTCAATTACAACAATAGAAGAATAGGATGCTCAATTCAGATGTGGTCATAAAAGTCTTGAACATGACCTACATAAATGACGTTCAAAAAGTACATAAAAATTAGCAATCATATCATAAATTATAATATGGAAACATTGTCTCCGAGGCGAGCTAATACCCAGACAATCTGCGAAGACAGAGTTAATATCAGTTTTTGGAATACAAAAGAAATTTTACTCATGTAAACGAGTAAAACAATAAAGTCAGATTATTATTTTAACTTTTTCGACTGGCTGTGTAAAAATTCGAGAAAAAACACTTGGTTTATAGAAAAATAAAACATCTTTCAATCATGACACGGTACTGTTTCAAACAGAAAATCTAAATTTAAGTACGATTCTTTTTGTAACAGTCACACTATTGTCCAGATTTAGCTCCCTTTGAGTTCTGATTATGCTTATTACATCACGAAAAATCCATGATTGGAGAATGATTCCGAGGGCGGAATACACAAATTATAAGATTATTGGAACAATGTGTATAATAGACTTAAAATTCTACATTTGATCGCATTGTATGTTTTTGATGCTTCATACCAGTTTGAATCTCTTTTTAAAAGTATCATTTTTAATTCGATATTCGATTAGGTTTTAATTTTATTAAGAAACACGCATGATGTAAAAGCACTTATTGAACATAACTCAGTATATTTAAAACTAAGTTATTGTCGCTCGATGTGGTTTCATATTGAATTCTGCAAAAACCATGCAATTCCATCTGTTTCTGTAAACGAAGTACATAAGAACACAAAATTACAATAAATTGCGAAAAAAATCGTGCCAAACCATAAAATAAAAAGTAAGTGGTAAAACAGAAAATAAATAATGTGTTCTGTGTTCCATCGTACGCCATGTAATAGACAACCCATATTATCGGTTGTACAGACATCACATCTTTATACCTCTTTGTGATGATGATGATTAATTGTGTTCAGATAATTCTTAATAATACATTGAATTAAATAATTCCCCTTTAATTACATTATATTCTAAGTAAAAAAATTCTAAAATTAAAATTTATGTTGACAACAAAGAAATTAAATCTCTGGTTGACATGACAATGACTTTGACGGTTATCATGACATTCAACCAACAACAATAAATTGAACGTCATATATGTCATGACATCATTCATTACTCATAAATACATCGATAATTTTTCCAGAATTTTCACAATAAATAAAAAATTAACTAGTGCTTTTGTGTGGCAATAAGAAAGTATCGCCAAAATGTCGTTAAATACGGCACATTTAAACGGAGGGGTTCTAATCCATAATGGAGAACAGTAAGTACAATACATTGTGCAATCTGATGGGGTATTGTTAAAATTATTTTATTTGCAGGATTTTGTTGTATTCAGACGGTGTGAGCATAGAATGGAGTGGTCAACAAGGAAATTCTTTCTACGGAGTTAAGAAGGGCTCTATTTATCTAACAACACACAGAGTAATTTTCCTTAATAAATCTAGTGCAGATGAGATGCTCAGTTTCAGCTTTCCCTTTGTAACACTCAGTGAGGTACACAATTTTAGTTGTAGTTCAAACAACGTTACTATATCAGTATATAATTTTATCAGGTCGAGATAGAACAACCAGTTTTTGGTGCCAATTACATAAAGGGAAAAGTTCGAGCCCAGCCAAATGGCAATTGGATCGGTGAGGCCAAGTTTAAGATGACCTTTAAGCATGGAGGGGCCATTGAATTTGGACAGGCTCTGCTTAGGGCAGCGCATTTTGGTAAGTTATTTTTCACTTCATTTCCACAAAGATTACAAATTTGGTACCTATTAAGATACATTTTTAATTGGAATGCAAATATTATTCAGATTATATTTAGTTATAAATAACACTTTTATTTAACAATTTAAATTGCTGCTATCATTTTTTAACTTAATTTATAAAAAACATTGTAACTGCCTACAGTTTGCCATTATTTTCAATTAGATAATTGGTCTATAGAATGTTACCACAGTATATATAGAGTATTATATAACTATTCAGCGATAAATAATAAAGATTCAATAATAGAAACAATATATTTGTCAATCTAAATAGGTAGAACCCAAAATTATTATATTAAGTAAGTTTTATATTAAATTTTTAAAGAAATCTCACTATACCAAAACCTTAAACCCTTAACATATTTATCCAATAAGTTGCTTTAAGTCTACAATTACAACAAATCAGAAGTTTCTTCAGTAGAATAGTTTTGACAGTCTGAAAACATAATACCTACCTACTAAGCTTGTGTAGTTCATGAGCGAACTAGTTCAAAGATCCGGCTCCAAACCCTGAACTAAATGAACTAGTTCGTCAGAGCTGGCTTAAAACCGTTCACTCGCTCCGCTGAGCCGTTTATTTCTCGGAGTCGAAGCTTCGCGTTTCGTTTGTTCATCGGTCAGGAGCGGTTCAGTTCAAATCTTCCGAGTTCAGACGCGACGAACGAAATAAGTGAGCTGGGTAACTGAGCGGGTAGCGGGTAGGACGGAAGAACATGAAAAGAACTAACCATTTAGGAACTAATATGTAGACATGTGGACGATTAGTAGAAGTGGGTGAGCGCTGAAACTGCTGAGAAATCATTTAGTTGAGATTATAATTTCAAGTTTGTGGTGCGTTTTATTTTCATTATATAGATAATTTAGTTTACTTTTCCGTGAGGGTGAGCTGATAACTGGTGATATATTTATGTAAGTAAAAATTGTTTTAGTGTATAATAATTGTGTAGAATAATATCTATTATGTATAATAACAATAATAATAATATGTACAATAAAATCATTATTTTATGTTTTATTAATTATTAATTTTAATATATTTAATAATTTATTATATTTTAATAATTAATTATTGTATGTAATAATAATTGTATGTTTATATAGTACCTATACTTGTGTACAATAGTACTTGTGTATAATAATAATTGTGTACAATTATTGTAAGAAGTTAATTAAGTCTTTTTTATTTCAGATTCAAAAAAATACTATGCAAAAATAAGCATTGCTAATGGTTCAAATGGAAACTTAAGTCGCCATATGAAAAGTAAGCACCCCATAGTCTTAACATCAGTGGAACCGTCTAAGTCTGAACTTATACCTACCTGAAATCCAAGTAATGAATAGTGAAGATATTTCTGGTCACACGTCATCTTCCTCAAGTACCAAAGCAAGATCTCAAACCAGAATAACAAATTTTGTTCGAAAGCCGCCATCAATACATAAAATAGAACAAATCGATAAACAAGTTACCAAAACGATCGCTAAAGGGCATCATGCATTAAGAATGGTCGAAGAAACAGAATTTAAAGAATTAATTAAAATGGTATCTCATTGTCCAAATTATCAATTACCATCTAGGAGAAAATTGTCCGAAAATTTGCTCATAAAACACATCAGCAAATAACAGAAGAATTACAAATAAAGTTAAATAACGCACAAGCCGTGTGCCTTACTACTGATTCATGGACATCCCGCTCTAATGAAAGTTACATTGCTGTAACAGCTCATTATATTGACGAACAATCAAAGCTTTGTTCTTCTACGTTAGGCTGCATCCAATATAATGAAAGACATACTGCTGAAAACATGTTAGATTTCCTGAAAAACATATTGCAAGAATGGCAAATTTCTCACAAAATAGCTGCTGTTGTAAGTGATAATGCGTCAAATATTTTATTAACTGTTAAAATGGGCAATTGGACATCGGTTGGGTGCTTTGCACATTCATTAAATTTGGTTATTCAGAAAGCAAAACGGACAATATCAGATACTCTTGCAAAGGTGAAAACTATTGTGGAATATTTTAAAAGAAGCACTCAGGGACTACGTAAATTACAAGACGCCCAAAGACAAATGAACTTACCACTTTTAAAATTGAAACAAGAGGTTTCAACTCGTTGGAATTCTTCATTTGAAATGTTAGAGCGCATATTTAAAATAAAAGATGCTATTATTACAACTACAGCCCTTTTGCGGAACGACCTTTCCATGCAGCAAGACGACTGGGACATTATAGAACAAGTACTACCACTCCTGCAACCATTTTATGAAGTAACAACAGAACTTTGTTCCGAAAAAAATGTAACATTATCAAAAGTTATTGTGTTTTGTAAAATTATTGATAAATTTTTATCAAAAAGTTCTACAGACAATCCTAAAGTGACTGCATTATTAGATGTTTTAAAAGAGGAAATGAGAAATCGATTTCAAAATATAGAAGATATTGAGCTTTTTGCAGAGTGTACTATTTGGACCCAAGGTTTAGAAATCGAGGTTTTACAAATGTCAAAGCTTATGAGAAGGCATTACAGGGACTTCGAATAAACTTGCGGTTGTATCTTTACCGGAAGTTAATCAAGAAAAGCCTACAAACAATATACACATAAATATTATAGTCAGTGATGACAGAAACCAGCAGAAGAGCATTTGGGATGACTATGATGAGGAAACTATAAAAATCATTAGACCAGAAAATAAACAAATGGCTGTCATTATAGAGTTGGACAAATATTTAGGTGAGGACTATCTAGATAGAAAAAGCAATCCACTAGAATGGTGGTATCAAAGAAAAAAGGTTTATCCAAATTTATACTCGTTAATTTTAAATCGATTTTGTGTCGTCGCAACTTCTGTGCCACGTGAACGGATTTTTTCTGGCACAGGTCAAATAATAAATGAACGTAGAACTCTTTTAAAATCGAGTAAAGTTTCTAAATTAATATTTTTACATACACATATGTAAACTAAGTCATTTAAATCTATTTTATAATCTATTAATTTTAGTTACTTTCTTATAAATTGTGTTAGAGTACTGGTTTTTTTTTTAAATAAATACTAATTAATTTGTCCTTTATTTTCTTACTATTGATTTTTACCACATTCTTAAAAAAAAACAATAATAAATTTTGTAGTAAAATATTTATAATTCTAATATAAATTAAAATCGGCGTTATCAAAAATAAACTTATGTACAAAAGATAAAATAATCTTACATTTTGCTCATGTGTAAATAAATCTCTCATGCTTAGTAACTCTTTGAGTTAATGAACTAGTGAACTAAAAGAGCGACCTAGTTCACTTCTCACATTTGAACTAAACTGAGCGCTCTTTATGATGAACTATTATGCCCAAGCCTACTACCTACTTATTTTTGATTGAAAAATATCATATCCACGACAAAACTGAATTTAAGTACAACTGTTTTCAATGAAATTCCCTATTAAATTATGCTTAAGTAATTGCTAAAAATAATCTTTGGCAATTTACTTATGGGAAAATGGAAAATCAACAAAAATGAGGAAAAGCACATATACTCTCTTTTATGTATTTGTATGACTTTATTTGTTGTTTATAAAAAACTTAATGTAGTCAAAGCATCTTAAACTTTAAACCAATTGACAATTATCCCAGTCTTTATAACACAGTATTTCTCATTTAAATTTGCAGCCATAGGCTCAGATATATCAGGGGATAATGGTATGTACTACATTATATTGTAGTTGGTTTGAACTTCCATTTGAGTGGACTTAAAATGCTTTCTTTCTTTTATGTAGCCTCCAGAGGTGGTTACGATGCCCCACCTCCATATGTTCCTCCTCAGACCCAGTGGTATGCTGCTGCTCCTCCCGCCTATGCTCCTTCAGCACAAGGTAAGTTAAGAAGCTAGACATTTTGTACCCTCATTTTAATTTTTTTCTTATTCTTACTGTATTTAACAGGCTATTATGGTTGGATGCCTCCCACCAATGTATTTCCACAACATCCACCTACTGATGGTGTCTTCATGACTGATGCTCCTCCACCATACCCAGGAATAGTACCTGGCTATCAACCCAATGGCTATGGACCCCCACAAGGCCCCCCTGGTTATTCCCAAGGACCTCCAATGTATCCTGGAACAGCAGTTATGGTGGTCAGAGTTCTGCTGGAGCAGCTGGTTTTCAACAACCACCACAATTTGCTAGTGCTGCAGGTATGATTACATGTGTTTTATTATAATTAATATAATACAATACATCCTGAATATTACAAGTAAACATTAATATATCTTGTGAATTGTAAGTTGGACATTACAATACACAAAATGGCATTTGAGTTATGTACAGTCACATCAACATTCTTTCCATTCTATTTATTTGCTATTTGGTATAGTTTGTCATCCTAATTATATGAAATTAACATATAAATATATTTTCCATTTTAAATATTGACAAAAAGTTTACTTTTTCTGGATGGCTCCAAGAATATTTGACAATTATTGGTCTGGTTTTTCAACAATCATTCATTTTATTGGATTTTATTGGACTTTAATTGCTTTATTGATGTTATCAATGCCTTCTGTTGTTGACAATGACTTCTTTCAGTTAAGATTTAATCATATTTTATTTTAAAAAAATATTGACGTTAGGATTTTTTTATATATAAAGTTAAATAACAGTTTGTTTGGTATCAGTTGTGATATATAGAGATTGCAATTGCTATCATGATTCATTGTAGAAGCAGAAGCCTAACCAAACCTTAAGATATATGTGACACTATTTTAGTGGCAAGAATACACAGAAAATACTTGGTGTCTTAGGCAGTCACTGTAATAGTTTTCTCCTCAACTTTCTTAATGTTTTTTATGTCTATTCTTTGTTTAAAATTTTTTTTATTTTTTGTTATAGGCATTTTGTTAAGTCATTCCTTAAATTTCCTATTTTGATTATTTCTTCTTCCAATTAGCTATTGAAAACTCCATTTGATATATTTTTCTAGATAATATTTAGAACTGTATATTCATATTTGTTTTAGGGGCTATGGTTCCCTATCAAAGACCCAATACCTATAGAAGCATTCCTGACTATAGGAATGTTCGGTATGCCCCTGTTAGATATCCAAATACACCTGGAGGTTATGTACCAGGTGGCAGATATATGTTGAGATACTCCCCCTATTATTATGCTCCAAGAAGATAAAGATCTTGATAAATGTTTTCATAAATACTGAATAAATTAATTTCCATCCCTGATCTAAAACTTATTTTTTAGTTTACAATGTTTATTTGGAAGAATCAGTTATTCCAAATGGCAGAGAGACTAACTGTCAATTAAATATTGTTGAATGTTGAAGAACAAATAATGAATGTTTCCCCCATATGTGAGGACCAGCCTCAGCAGTGCTTTGTGTTTAATAATTTTAGTTTTTCTTTGGATATTTGTTGAGTGGAATTGTTTTTGGAGTCCATAGTATGCCCTATTTGTAGGGTTTATTTGTCTTTTAATATCCTCATTTGTTTTATTGGCAGTAGTCACTAGCTAGCCAAGGTATGTGAAGCTGTCAACATGTTCAAAGATATGACTTCCAAATGCTGTTTCCCGTTCCTCATTTGTTCCCGTTTTGCCGTCGTTTGCAATTCTAGGAAGTATTGCTCAACATTCAGCTTGCTACAGCCTATTATGTCAATGTCATCAGCATATGCTAAGATTTGTATTGATCTATTGTAAATAGTACCGCCGTCTCTAATTCGTGTGTCTCGGACTGCCTTTTCCTAGGCAATGTTAAAGGAGGCAAGCCAGGCTTGGCTTAAACTCCTTACTCATTTTGTTTACACTTTGCATCTAGCTTGATTTGTCTTTAGGTATGCTCTAAACAGAAGAATGTTAAAAATCTTGAGCTTTCAGATGTGGTGCTACAGCCGTATACTAAAAATAAGTTGGGTGGATATAACTACAAATGAAGAGGTAATATGCAGAATAAATAACGATCCAGAAGTTATACTGAATATAAAAAAGAGAAAACTTAAATACTTAGGCCACCTGATGAGAGGACAAAAGTACACATCATCATCATCATCTTGGTGCTACAGCCCTTAGAGGGCCTCGACCTTCTCAAACTTTCTACGCCATTCTGTTCTGTCCCTTGCTTGCATTTTCCAGTTGCCGACTCCGATCTTCTCCGCATTTTCGGTGTTACCCCATCACTCCACCTCAGCTTTGGTCTACCCCGTCTTCTCATTCCCACTGGTTGCGCTGTTAGAATCTTTTTTATCATGTTCGATTCAGGGGCCCGGGCTACATCCTGCCCACTGCAGGCGGTTTCGCTTAATTATAGTAATAATATCTTTACCACCAAACGTATGCTTGTAGATATTCTGCAGTTCAAGGTTATATCTACGCCTCCATATTCCGTACCACTAACAAATTATTCAAAACAGCAGTAAATAAAATTAGAATCGCCCTAATGATATCCAATCTCCGACAGGAGAGGCACTCAAAGAAGAATGCTCTATTTTTGTTATATGCTATTTGACACTCCTTGTCAAACCATTCGTTTGTCTAACTGGTTTGGTTTTCCCCAATATTTTAATTCAATGCGCAGATTAGCAACATTAATTCTGTCTTGTTTTATATGTTTATTCTTTTTTATGTTTGATATTCTTCATTTGAGTTTTGCCATTACAAGAAAGTGTTCACTACCTATGTTTGGACCTCCGGTAGCTTCCGACATCCATGAGGTCGGAAGAATGTCTTGCATCTATTAGGATGTAATCTATCTGTTAAACGGTTTCAAAATTTATCACTACTGCTTAATTTACATAACCTGCACATATAGTGGATTAAAGTGTAGAGTTGTAGATATCTCTTGAATGTTACATTGTGACAAAATTTCTTTTATTGAAATTATAAAGTACCGTAACGCTGATAAAAAGGTGTTTTTAATCATAGTGACTTAAATCGTTTGAAACGCTCAGTATAACGGTTGATTCAGACCAACAGTAAAGTCACATCAGAGACGGTGCAGTCAAGATTGCTTCTGTGGTTTTCCAATAAGGTAATTCCCACGCATGGGCACGGTACAGTCAAGATCACTTCCCGTCCAGTCACTCAGCCAGCGATCAAGACTGTGACTGGACCGGACTGCCGGATTGGTGTGAATAGAACACAGAACACCATCTGGTTTCAGTCGATGTATTATGAAGGATGAAAAATTAATTGAGTGCATTCGTGAAGAAAGATTATGATTTATCGCTGATTCTGATTCTCAGCGAAAATTAAAAACATGACAGGAAATATTAGTATGTATATAAAGTGTAACCTTAAAGTAACGACCATCAATGTAACGAATTTTGTCAATTTATAACCTTTATTTACAGATTGTATCAATTATTCACATTAAATTTCACAATAATTTATGTCACGACAGGTTCAGTTTTTCGGTAAAATAAAAAAAATTATGAAGAAACAAAGAAGGTGTATAGCAATTTAAAAAATTATTTCACATTGTTTAAATTGTCGCACCATCTTTTTCTTGGTCTTCCAATACTTCTTCGTCCAATTGGTGACTTATCTCATGCTATTTGTACTATTCTATCCTCTGCCATTCTACTAATGTGTTCGTTACACTCCTGTTTTCGTTTTGTCGCCCATCCATTTATGTCTTCTATATTGCATTCTCTCCAACAGACTTTTCCCTGATGTTCGTCGGAGTATTTTCATCTCTGTTGTTTCTAGTAGTCGTCTCGTTTTAGATGTGTCAGGTCTTGTCTCCGCCGTGTATGTTAATATAGGTCTAATTGCTGCTTTATAGATTCTTGTTTTTTGTGTCATGTCTAAGGTGTTTGTTCTTCCAGATTGTGTCATTAAGAGATCCCGCTGCTTTACTTGCTTTTAAGGTTTGTTGTCGTACTTCTTCTTCAACATCTCTGTGTAAATAGTTATATCTATTCCTAGATATCTAAACCTTGCTTCCTCATTTTATTATTTTCCCATCAATTTCGATTTTACACCGTAGTGGGAATTTAGATGTTGTCATTCATTTGGTTTTTTCTGCTGATTGTATTGTATTTCTTAGCTGTTGTATTGAAGATATGTGTTAATCTTTGGAGCTCGTCTTCTGTCTCGGCGATTAATGCGGCGTCGTCGGCATAACATAATATTTGGATTTCTTTGTTCCCCATTCTGTAGCCATGACTTTTACATACTGCTTGTATTATTTCGTCCATTATTATATTAAAGAAAAGTGGGCTTAACCAGTCACCCTGTCTGACTCCGCTTTGTACTGTTATACACTGTGTTGGTTTTCCATTTATCTTGGGCTGTATTTGATTATGGAGGTAGATGTTTTCGATGGTTTGTATAATGGTATGTTTCTTTTATACAGTAGGTGTAAAACGTCTTTGACTTGAATGCGATCAAAGCCTTTGTCAGGTCTATAAAACATAGATATGCTGGTTTATTGTACTCGATTGCATTTTCTGTGATTTGTCTTAGTACAAATACGGCGTCTATGCAAGATCTTCCGGATCTGAATACTTGTTGCTCTTCTGAACAACAGGATTGTTAGTTTATTGTTTATTGTGAGTTGTTAGTTTATTGATTGTTTGTTTGTTTTGCGCTTAAGGAATGCGGCCACCCATTCTACTCATTCCTATCAGAGGGTGTAGTGACTCGCTTTTATTGTTCGGGCAGCGTGCCTAACGTTATCACACAGATGTTGACATCTATTGACGACTATTCATTTCCAGTTTGAGTTGTGTCTCAGTGTGTTAACAGTTAACAGGATGAAGAAGAATATCCTGGCTTGCTAACTGAGAGCATGGTATAGAAAGACCTCAACACAGCTATTTCGTATAGCAACCAACAAAATCATCATAGCCAGAATGATCGCCAACGTTCGGAACGGACAGGCACCCTAAGAAGAAGAAGAAGTGTTAGCAGTCAACATGTTTTCGAAAAAGCGTAAAGTGCTCTCGGTGGAGGAAAAGCAATCGGATGTCATTCGTCGTACAAGGCTGTCTCAGTCAACTGTGGCTACGATATGGAAGGACAGAAAAAAGTGGAGATGGAGGGCGGTAGCAGGAAGAAGTTGCGAAAACCTCAGCACGAAGATTTAGATCGCGCTATGCTTCAGTGGTTCCAGCAGCAGCGTATGAACCATATTCCATTTTCTGGGCCTGTGGTCAGGATAAAATCTTAGTTTTTTGCAACTGAGCCTGGAATTGAGAATTTCAACGCATCTGAGGGTTGGCTAAGCAAGCGGAAGCTGCGGCACAAGATCACCTACGGGCAAATCAGCGGAGAGGCTTGCAATGTTAACAAAAACGTAACGGATGATTGGCTAGAAAACGTGTGGCCTGGATTGAAGGCACGAATATGCGTCAGACGACATTTTCAATGCTGATGAGACTGGATAGTTTCTTAAAATGACACCAAACAGAACTTTAAAAAATTTAAATAGGAAAAAGTGCGTTGTTGGAAAGCTCTCTAAGGAACGCATTACAGTTTTAATGGCCGCTAACATGACAGGTTCGGTGAAGCGAAAATTGTTAATGATAGGGAAGTCGAAAAACCCACGTTGCTTTAAAAACATAAAAAACCTACCGGTGACCTACAAAGCAAACAAGAGTGCGTAGATGACTTCGGAAATTTTTGAAGAAGCAATAAGAAAGTGGGATATCGAGCTTAAAGGGAAATAATTCTTCTGCTTGTAGACAATTGTCCTGCTCATCCTGTACTGCGCGACCTTTAAAACATTGAACTTTGTTTTCTGCCAGCAAACACAATGAGTGTCCTTCAGCCGATTGACTAAAGTGTCATCAAGAGTTTGAAAAGTCATTACAGGAGAAGACTTCTGATGGAATTGGTTGAGAACACTGGCGATCTTAAACTAAACATTTTTAATGCAATCCTAATGATTAGTAATTCCTGAGACAAGGTGACGAAAAATACAATAAAATATTCCTTCAAACACGCAGAATGGCTTTAAGATCAAGGATTGACTGATGATGAAGACGACCTGCCATTAGATGTTTGGGCCAGACAGTTTGAACTTACTATCATCTACGGACCGGAAGAGCTAACAGATTTTGAAGAAGTTGATAAAAATGTAGCTACAACATCTGGACTTTCTGACGAGGAGATCCTACAAGCACTTCGTGTAGAAGAAGAAAACAATGAACCAGAAATGGAAGCAGAGCCAAAACCAGCTAAGACCCCTCAGCAGGCATTGGATGCGGCAAAAGTACTGCACTAATTCTTCATCCATCAGGAAGAAGATATGAGTGCTGTGGAAGATTCTATGCGTCTTAAGGACAAGGTCAGGTCAGTTCTGTGGAAAGGGAAAAGGAAACAGACCAAAGTGACACATTTTTTGGTAATGTAAGCTAAATATATTTTACAGTAGCATATTATTTTGTTATTGTACAGTACACATGTTTTAATTGACAGTCATTTTTTATACTGTATTGTCTTTAATAAATCTATGTGGTGTACAATACAGTGGTCATTTATTTATATTCGTTTTGATAATTTTTTTAAATTAAAATAGGTTATTTTCAATATAGTATTATTAATACATATTACAATACGGAATTTTGTCTCTCTCTGTATAACGATCTTTCCTTATAACGATGAAAATTCCCGGTCCCTTGCATATATAGAGGACTGTAATTATCAAGTTTTGAATTTTGTGTTAAAAAAATCACTGATTATGAATATCTGATGGTTTTTCAAACATAAACTATTGTGAAGATTTTAATGTATCATTTTAAATGAATGTTAAAATACATAAATTCTAAGTTTCTCATGGAATTAGGAACATTGCGATGTTTTTATATATTTTATATTTTTTTCCATAGATGCCAAAGCTCACGAAGCTGCTCAATCAGCCTACAATAATCAAAATAGTAGACCACCACAGGGTTATGCTCCTCCACCAGCCTATTATGTAAGTATGAAAGTAGTATGTATGAGTTTCTGAAAGATTATTTTTTCTCTTCCGCGGAGATAAAAATTGATAAAAAACATGTCTAGTTGTTAAAGCACCTAACTTTTGTATTATCCAACAAAAGCGAATCGATCAAAAAACAAAATGTTGAGAAAGCATGAGGCTATAGTTACGATTTAATTTCAGTATTCTACAAATTCTAGAATATTCCACAGGGTGATGCAAACTTTAAGGAAAAAAACACAGTTTAATTCGTACACCCGGTATACAATGAAAATTTACCTGTTTAGCAACCATATTATAACGATATTATCAAGGAATAAGGCTAACATTAAAAAAATCACTTAAATCGGACAACAGGTTTAGGAGATATAAGATATCAAAAATTACCCATTTTTAAGGTGGCCGGTAAATTTTGGCCCAAAATGTATACTTAAAAAGTTTACGATATAAACCAATTTTTACAAATCATCCTTGTCATTTTATAATCATTGTACATATCTGTCAATGTTTTGCCTCCTTCTATATATTTTTTGAGGTACTACTTCAACAATAGCGGCTCTCGTCAATAATGTAGACGATGCATCATCATTATCATTCACGTAATGAGGGTCCGTAATAAGAACTAAAATGGGTTTATTTTTTGTTTAAACCGGTAGATGTAATCAAAAAATCGTCAAGTTTTCTACTAAATTGATTATTTATAATTATACATTAAAATAATATTGATATTGTTACTTATGTTACTCCTACTCGAGATAATTATTATTTTCTGATAACCCTTGGATCTGACATTTTTAAGCCAATACATTTATTCCTTTTATTTAATGTGACACAACTCCAAAATTCTCACTGATAGAGTTTGAAAATATATAAAATTGTCTGCTATAGTGGCACAACTCAAAAGTGCCGGTATTGCATAGAAACTATTATTATTGTGCCAGTTTTGCAGGTCATAAAATAAGGCTTTTTCGAGCTCTCTCGTGATGTTAATTCAATTTTGTCAATTTTTGAGTTAAGCCATTATTGCATCCAGCCGACGATATGTGGTATCGCTAAGCTGCGCCATCTACTTATTTTCAACATTATTCTTATTTTTAGGAAAGTCCACCCACCTACAGCCAAGCTACCCACAAGAAGGAACAGTAAGCACTTGCAGGCCTACTGGAAGTGAGCACAGGACGCGAGCTTTTGCAAATATACTATATTATTATTATTATTTTTAATGTTTATTGAGAATTTTAGTTAAGTTCACTTTGAGTGATGTATAGGATGAGACATTCCTCAAACACGGCACATTAAATATATTTGATTTAGACTGTTGATCAAACAAAATGGTACTGACGTGATATTTTGTCATTGTTATGTAAGGAAAAGAAGGAAAATATATATTTTTATTGTCATTAATATACTGATGTTTACAAACTGGAGAAAATTGAGGTTATATTCCTGGACTTCTTTCTTTGCGTATTTACCTTAGAAAATTACTTTTCTAAATCAAACTGCAAGTGTTTTCTCTTTGTAATATTTGAAAACATAATTTATTATTTTTGGTGAATTAGTAGTCAGTGTTTTATCGCAATTTTATTTACCATTTATATAGAAACATTAAGGTCCTAGGATTTTTCCATCAATTACCCAATTGAGACTATGTGTGAATGGATCTAATTTTCTTCACGGAGCAGAAACTGAGCAGAAACCTTCATGGTTTTTACGCGGACTTGTCATCTCATGGTTTATTTTTTGGGTTGTGTTAATGTGTCTACTAGTATTTTATTTCTAGACGTTTTTATAATTTTCTACTATATTTTAAGATGTTTAGTTTTTATCTGACTGTACTATTACCATATAGACCTAATACTCAATTGAATCTGACGTCAGCTAAAGCAGCCATGTTCTGTTTTCTAAGTTAATTGATTATAAAAGAAATGCATAGCGCTCTCCTTATCACACATAGGAAAAGAAAGAAGTTAAGTTTGTAAACGCCATTTTACTATATAACTAATGTATGTTGTTATTCCGCATTTATTAAAGTATTGTATAATAGCAGTAATCACTTATATATGTAAATATTCAGTACTAGCTTATATTGATTATTTTTGTTGAGATGAAGGCGTGTATATTTCAATAAAAACATCGTTACAACGATTTCTTTTGTGTCATTTAATAAACCCTTTATTTCAAAGTAGTTTTCAACAACCCATACAAGCAAACTCAGAGTCTACAGCATGAGAATATTTTACAAATCGGTCTGTTAGTGTCTTTGCATACATTTTCGCTAAAGTGTTGTAGCAAATTTGGCATAATAACTGTTGGAGGTTAAAGGACTAAAATCCAGCTCTGTCGTCAAATCATAATATCACGTTATCGGAGAATCAGCGCTGCCTAACCACTGGATGCATTTCTCACAATGGAATTAACAAGAGGTAGTGAAAGACGAGTTACCAGCGCCTATAGGCTCTGAGATGGCATCCCCACCATCCGATTTACGTAGCTATAGATTGTTAATCTAATCTATCTAATCTAACTACAATCAAACAGCGGTCGTACGGGTGGAAGATAGTGAGACAAACCAGGTGGAAATTCAAAGAGGAGTCAGACAGGGATGTGTGCTGTCGCCACAATTATTTAATGTGTACTCCCAACTAATATTTCAGGAGGCACTATGGGAAAGAACTGAAGCTGTAAAGATTGTAGGGAGCATCATTAATAACATAAGATTTGCAGACGATACCGCAATCATGGCAGAGAATATAGACGATTTACAAACTCTCCTGGAAATCATTAACAGAGAACGCAAAAAGATGGGACTAACATGAATATAGATAAAACCAAATACATGGTGATCTCAAAAAACCCTGTTGACAACATACAACTGACATTGGAGGGTAAACCCCTAGAGAGAGAGTCGACAAATATAAATACCTCGGAGCAATTATAAACTCACCGTTAGATCAAGAGCAGGAGATAAAGGTCAGAATAGAAATAGCTCGAAAAGGCTTTATAAAATACAAGTCAATGTTTACAAATAAGAAATTGAGTATGGATATCAGATTGAGGCTCGTCGAATGTTATGTTTGGTCGCAACTACTATATGGGGTAGAAGCTTGGACTCTGAAAGCCCAATCTATAAAAAAATTGGAGCCATTCGAAATGTGGCTATATAGGCGTATTTTGAAGATACCTTGGACTGCAAAAGTCTCAAATGAGGAAGTGTTAAGACGAGTTGGACATGGCAGAAAGCATATGAACACAATTAAAATAAGAAAAACATCGTATCTGGGCCATATACTCCGAAACGATAAATACTCTTTGCTACAAGTCATCATGCAAGGTAGAGTAGAGGGAAGAAAAGGCTTGGAATGAAAGAAGAAATCTTGGCTGAGGTATATGAGAGATTGGACTAACCGCAGTGTTGAACAGATATTTCACGTTGCAAAAGATCGAGAAGCGTTTAAAGAAGTGATTGCCAACCTTCGTTAGAAGACGGCACAAGAAGAAGAAGAAGATTGTTAATATGTACTGGGGAAAATATAAATACTCAGACACATCAAACTAAAACACTGAGTGGATTAAAATCATAACGAATCATGTTGTGATGTGATGGGAGTTATTAATAGGATTTCATGTATGTTAGAAAGATTATTTAATTAGTAAAGTATTAAATAATGTAAAATAATAAAAAAAGGTCAAGTATACTGTATACTATATCTACGCGAGGCTTTTATTATCAATATTATAATTTGCTTAGTATGTCTATCTTTCCGTAATGAAGATCACAGCGCCACCTATCCAAAAAAACCGTTACTAATTTTAATAATATATGTCATACGTCACTGGTTTATTATGAAGAAATATTTATGAAATAAATATTTTTTATTTAATTGAGAAATAACGTTGTTTATAAAGAAATAAACGTTTTGGGAAATTTATGAAATAATATGTATTGTTTTTTAATTATTTAGAGCTTGTACATATCACTACCACAGAATATAGACGCATAAATAGAAATGAAATAGAAAGGCAGGAAAGAATGTTCCGTTCAGTGGCCATCCTAACAGATAGTAAAGCAGCGCTTAAGGCACTCAATTCTGTAGAGGTCAATTCTAAGCTAGTATGGGATTGTGTGTGTATGTCCTAAATAAACTAGGAGATTGTAGCAAGCTTACGGAAGCTTGGATTCCGGGGCACAGGGTAATAAGGGCAATGAAAAAGCAGATGAATTGGCCAAACAAGGCTTACCAATATCATTCATTCTACGGAAATCCGGCTGCGGCGTTGCAAAGACAGCAAGGAAGTGGGTAGCTCACAAATCTCTGGAATGGTGGAAGAATTCACCAGGACAAGGCCAGGCGAAACAGTTTATTACAGGACATTCGCCAAAATTTACGGCAGGCCTAATAAGCAAAGATAGGAAAACAGTTAAAGCCATAGTAGATCTTCTAACCGGGCACTGTAAGCTGAATAGGCACTTAAAGCTGCTGGGATCACATAGTGACTTGTGCTGATTCTGTCGCCTCGAAGAAGAGACAGCAGATCACATTCTATGTCAGTGTGACATTCTCGCAAATGTGCGGTTCTTTGCATTAGGAGAAGAAAATCCAACGGCAAATAGCTACATGGAAGGTACAGTCTCAAAGTTATTAGACTTTTTAAAAAGGGTCAGACTAGAGAATGTTATCTAGGAGTAGAGAACCACAATAGATCTGAAAAGGTCGCAGTGGAATAGGCCAAAAGGCCACCTCTCTAAATCTATCTATCTAGCAAAATCAATATGTTTGTGTGAAACTGAAAATGTAATTGATGTGGTTTCTTCACATTTGCAGCAACTGAAGATTTAAAATCAAGCACTAGAACATCTTGTCCGAAAAGAAGTTCAGTGTTTGGGAAAATATCTGTGTTCTTTACACTAAAATAGTTAGAAAAGTATTCTCTTTTATCATGATCTCGGATAATATGGGACTTTTGAGTATACTTTGTAACCTCGGAAATCTTTTTTGGATGATGCTAGAAAGATAACCAATGGAGACACTGCGGACGGCAGCCAGATGGTTGGTGGAGAGCGAGTCGTGGGTTCGAAACTAGCTTTTGGAACCGGGATTGGGTTCAACGGTCGAAATAAGTAAAGATAGGATAAGAGATATTAGAAAAGATATAGAAATAGACAAAAAGATAGATGGGTAAAATTACCAAAGATAAGAGAAAATAGAAACAGGGCGTCACTCAATTTTTTGGGGTTAAGGAGAAAATTAAGAAACCTTAGAAAAAAAAGAGATAAGGAAAGATATCCTTCAGAGATCAGAGATCAAACCCAAGGAAAGATACCAACAGTTAATTATCAAATAAATTTGGTAAACACAATATATAAACAAATAATAAATATATTAGGTATTACACTTACTTACCTACGAAACTTAATCAGCCTATCTTTCTACTGGTCAAAGGTATAGTAATAAATTAATATACTAAGCAAATATTTAGAGCTACTATTTTATCAGGGAACTTGTTAGGAGCCGACAAATAAAATACATGCATAAAACATTAACAATATATTGAAACACAAAATTATGATGCTGCTAAATGCAACACAAGTAATAATAATACACAACTATGAAATGGTGTTATATATGTATAAAATTAAGCAATAATATAATAAAAAAATACCTTTACCAAGATATATAAGGCAATCATATACAAATATAGTTATATATAGGTTTTGTATATTTGGTATTGGTTCCACTAAAAATTTCACCAACTATCCAAGAAAAAAGAAGAAGAAAGTATATCCCCCACTTAAAATCATCGGACAGTTGTAGGTAATTCTGAGGAAGTAAAAATTCCGAAAGTTTTGAGTTACCGGTACCAAGAATTGGACATGAGAAGCAGACAATACTTGGGATTAAGTTATTGTCAAAAAATACGGGCCTTCGGCGAAAATGATCAATTTATGTAAAAGAACCTGCATACCCAAAAGCATTAGATCTTTTCATACTGAGTATTAAGACGGAAAGGATTAACTACCTTTAGTAATTAGGGAAGTCCATTATAATTTAGTAGATCCAATATTATTTTCTTATCGTAAACACGGGAATTCCTAATCATCGGCGTATCGCACGAGAGTAAAAGAAATTAAATATTGTTTAACTTAATGTCACCACCGCGATGTTTTTTAGATGATTTTCCAATAACCTGGTGTGTTTTGCAAATATTTTGAAAATCCCAAAAATATTCAACGTTGTGTTCCATATTATTTCTTTTGCTTTTTTGCACGCGTGAACCAAAACTGATGTACACAAAAACTGTACATTCCTGATCGGTTTTTATCTTCAATGAAAAATTTACTTCTTTTTGAAGGTTGCAGTCCAATTTTTAGCGATCACATAAGCCCTTGTAATGAACATACAGATTGTAGAATATACCACACAATTTTTTGAACATTAAGCTTAAATTTAATTATTAAAATAGAAATTTGGAAACAAACATCCTTCGTGATTTAGTTCAATGGTATATTCGTGAATTATAATAAAATAGTAATAATAAACAATACTGCCAGGCATTTGCTTCAACTGAATATAAGGAACGGCATGACTCAGTAGGGAAGATCCCCCATTAAGAGATAGCTTTTAAACTGGGACTTCTACAAACAAACCATCTCCCATATTATCAATACGTTCCTGAGAGTATGCTTGAGGATGACAACTACAAGCTATACTGGGATCGCACTGTGCTCACAGACCAAACTGTAGCACATAATAGACCAGATCTCGTGCTAGTTAATAAACTAACAAGACAAACAACTCTAATCGATGTGGCGATACCTAACAACAATAATCTGCGTGTTAAGTACAACGAAAAGATCGCCAAGTACAGAGATCTGGAAATACAAATAAGAAGACAATGGAGAATGGAAAGTACACCCAGACGATACCTATTATTCTTTCTACCACTTGAGTCATTCCGAAGAATCTCTTAGAAAACATAAAAAAGCTGGGTCTAAATGAACATCTATATAAGGTCATACAGAAAGCTGTGCTACTTTCGACGCCCAGATGCGTGCGAAAATTTTTAGGAGATACACCGACGTACCAAGTCACCTAGGACTCGATAACATGGAAAAAGTCCCACCAGAGCTCAATCCTTTTGATACCGTAGGTATCTGGGATGAGTGAATTTTCCCCTTAGAGGGAGTGTGAGCCGTATGGCTAAATCTGGATAAACAATACGTGAATTTACAATAGAAAAGACCTGTAGTTGGCCTTGTAGAATCAGCAGAAATTATGTATTTAAAGCGACTTTCGCTTCTACGATTAGGATTCTTAGTTATTTGTTGTTAGCATTTAGCAGTAGAGTTTAGATTCCGTTTTTTGTTTACTCTGCTCTACCTTGCTTATAATGTAATTGTTAGGTTATCAAAAAAAAAAGGTAAAAGTACCATCTATATTTTATAAAAAGTGTAACATGGAGAATCGATTGAGTTAGCCGTAGCGAGAGATAGCACAAGATGATGGTCAGGTCACAATTACAAAACTTTCGGCCGACATAAATTTTTTAAAATTGTATTGCTCAAATATAAGTTGACATGAAACTTTGCACTGTCATTTCTAACATATTATTCTTCGTTGATATGAACATGCAATATTGTGTTTATCCACGGAACCGGTCTATGCTAACCAAACATCAATACATCCTCGTATTTTTCGATTAAATAATAATTCTAGGGAAAATATGACTGATAAAAACACTGTTTTAAAATATAAGCATTTAATGAAATATTATCTTACAAATACATAGAGAATAAATTGGCTGATAAACAGTAGACGTTTCTTCATTTTTCTTTATCTATAAGGTATATTTTTCGTAGTTATGTAAGCAGTTGATAAAAGTATTGTCAACAGTTGACGGTCCAACTACAAAAAATTAGTATTATCAATATATCAAGTTGAAAAAATAAGTAATCAATATGTTTAAAGTATTCAAAGAATATAATAATAATAATAATCGCACTGTGCTCACAGACCAAACTGTAGCACATAATAGACCAGATCTCGTGCTAGTTAATAAACTAACAAGACAAACAACTCTAATCGATGTGGCGATACCTAACAACAATAATCTGCGTGTTAAGTACAACGAAAAGATCGCCAAGTATAGAGATCTGGAAATACAAATACGAAGACATTGGAGAATGGAGAGTATCCAGACGATACCTATTATTCTTTCTACCACTGGAGTCATTCCAAAGAACCTCATAGAAAACATAAAAAATCTGGCTCTATATGAACATCTATATAAGATCATGCAGAAAGCTGTGCTACTTTCGACGTCCAGATGCGTGCGAAAATTTTTAGGAGATAGGTACACCGACGTACCAAGTCACCTAGGACTCGATAACATGGAAAGAGTCCCACCAGAGCTCAATCCTTTTGATACCGTAGGTATCTGGGATGAGTGTATGTTCCTCTTAGAGGGAGTGTGAGCCGTATGGCTAAATCTGGATAATAATAATAATAATAAGTCCAGATGTGTACGAAAATTTTTAGGAGATATTCCAGCATATCAAGTCACCTAGGGCTCGATAACACGGAAAGAGTCCCACCAGAGCTCAATCCTTTTGATATCGTAGGTATCTGGGATGAGTGAATGTTCCCATTAGAGGGAGTGTGAGCCGTATGGCTAAATCTGAAAATAATAATAATAATAAATAATAAAATTCTCTCTATTACTGGTGTTATCCCGAAAAACCTAGAAAACATAAAACAGCTGGGGCTGATAAGGCTGGGAGTTTTATAAGGCCATGCAAAACACTGGACCTACTATTCTACGATAACACGGAATGGGTTCCACCAGAGTTCAATCCTTTTAATACCGTAGGTATCTGGGATGAGTGCATTTTCCCATTAAAGAGAGTGTGAAGCAGTGGCGGCTTTTCTTTATGTGCTGCTGAGCTGCAGAACTACCAAACAACCATAGCAAATCTTAATTATTAAAGAATAATTAATATAGTTTTATTTCAAATCTGCCATATTATCATATTAAACATAAACTGTTAATAATAATTCACCAACAACGATGATTAATATTATTTTTTTTACGTATTTACTCCTCTAGTGAAACCGTATAATTTTTTTACGTATTTGGTGCTCCAGTGAAGCAATCTTTTTACGTATTTGCTGCTCCAGTGAAGCCGCGTCGATAACAACCGAAACACTGGCAGCGGTAAAATGCATTTATTAGGCAAACGGCGATCTTAGCCGATGTGCTTCGGCAATCGGCTGATTAACGGCCTCGGAAATGTGTTTGCGAGCTGCAATTCACGACAGTTATTCGTGACCGTTGCATCTGTGCCGTGTTTAGAAATTCTTAGGTTACAATTTTGTTTAATTTGTTTTGTTCGAGCGTGTTTAAAACAATGGAGTTTCAATTTAAATTAGGTGTAAATAAATTTCAAAAACTTCACTATCAACAACAGTTGATTATAAAAGAACGTGGCCGTCCTATGCCTGATCTTAATATTGAAGTGTCCGGTAAAAGCCGTGGAAAAACATATACGCGTAAATTTAATAAAGACATGTATCTACGAAATCAGTGGATTTGTGGATGTTCCGAAAAAAATGCTTTTTTCTGTTTTCCGTGTGCATTATTCGGCGCAGATAAAGAGGAAAAATTGGGGCGCGAGACAGGAGTGCGGGATCTAGTGCATTTAAGTGAAAAAATAAAGAAGCATGAAAACACGCAAACTCATATGAACAATGAAATGCGATTTGCATTATTTGGGAAACTTAATATACAGGCCCAACTTGACTCTGCTTATTGGATAAATATACAAAAACACAATGAAGAGGTGACGAAAAACAGGTATGTTTTGTCAAAAATAATTGACTGTATAAAATTCTGTGGGGCTTTTGAGCTCGCCTTACGAGGACACGATGAATCTGAAACATCAGATAACCCTGGAATTTTTCGTGGTTTAGTGAATTTTTCTGCTGAACTTGATAAAACACTTAGTGAACACCTTACAAATGCGACAATTTTCAAAGGTACCTCAAAAACAATACAAAATGATATTTTGGATTGCATGCTAGAAGTATACGCTGAGGAGATTTTAAACGAAATCAATGAAGCCCCATTTTTAGCAGTGATAGCTGATGAGACAACGGATGTTTCTATGAAATTTCAAATGGTCATTGTTTTTCGTTATGTAAAAAACGGTGCTCCAGTTGAAAGGTTTTGGACTTTTTTGCTTCCAGAAAAACATGATGCTGAAACCTTAGCTAACACAATTTTGAATGTTTTAGACCCAATATTAAAGAATAACAAAAATAAGCTCATTGCACAAAGTTATGACGGAGCAGCTGTTATGAGTGGGATACATGGCGGAGTGCAAACAATAATTAAGAGAAAATATGAAACTGCTCATTTTGTGCACTGTTACGCCCATCAATTGAATCTAATAATGTCAAGAGCATGTTCTATTAATTCCCAAGTACGCGTATTTTTTGGAGATTTACATGATATACCTGGATTTTTTAGTCATTCACCTCAAAGAATAGCTGTCTTAAATCAAATAGTTGGAAAAAATATTCCTCGTTCAATCCCTACACGCTGGAATTTCAATATTCGTACAGTAAATGTCGTTTACGAATATAGAGACTTTATTATTGAGTGTATGGAGCAACTAGAAGAAGAGTCAAATGCTATTACTTCCAAGGAAGCAAGAGGACTTAGACGTATTCTGGAAGATCAAAATTTTACTTTCTGGCTGACTGTTTTTCATTATATTATGCCACATGTTGACGTTTTGTACAATAATCTTCAAAAAAAGAACATGGACCCAACCGAAGCACAGAAAGCTATACATGTTTTTGAGCAAAGTATTAACAATGTCCGAAATAAAATAGACCCTATCATACATCAAGCTTCAAATTTAAATGCGGCGCCTAGTGTCCAAAAAAGGAAACGCCCAAATAACAGCCAACAGGATCACCGTATTGCCTGTCTAGAAGTTTGTGATGTTATTATAAACAATGCAAAAGAACGGTTTGCATATACAAATCATCTAGTTGCCGCAACACTTTTATCTTCAGAACATTTCGAAAAATATAATAATAAGTTTCCTGAAAATGAATTGGATTTAACTTGTACAGCTTATAACTTCTTTGATAAAAACCGTTTGCGAACAGAACTGTCAGTTTTGTATTCCAATATCGAGTGTAGAACATTAAAAGGTGCAGTGCCTTTACTAAAATTTATAATTTCTAATAATTTAGAGGACACATTAACAGAAACCAAAAAGTTGATACAAATTCTGGTGACTACGCCAATGACCACAGCAGAAGCTGAACGTAGTTTTTCAACTTTAAAACGGATCAAAACATTTTTAAGAAATTCAATGTGCGAAGACAGATTAACAGCCCTTTCCACACTCTCGATAGAAAAAAAGTTCATCGCTTCAATACCGAACTTTAACGATAAAGTAATCGAAAAGTTTGCGACAAAAAAGGACCGGCGTATTAATTTCCAATTTAGAAAAATGCAATAAATGTAAGTTAATCAGATTTTTATAGCATGTCGTTATTAGTTACTATTAATTAGTATTAAAGCTAATTTTATTGTTTTTGTTTTCGTATGTTATTCTATTTCTATTATTTTATATTGACCGTGGTTCATGCAGCACACCCTATAGCAGATGTCACGAGCCGCCACTGGTGTGAAGCCATATTGCTTCTACTACTACTCCCTACGAACGCTTCACCGCTGAAGAAGTCTCAAATATGATCAAAGAGCTTCAACTAGAAATCTTCTGGACAAGACGGAGTTCAGAACTTCTGGCCTAAGAAGTTTTGAAGTGTTCGTAAGTGCTTATCAACATTAATTAATCATGTTATTTCTAATCTGCGGGAAATAACATAATGATTAACTCAGAGGACAACTTATTTAATATCGAAGGATTAAAATAACACCCAATGATCATTCTTAATTTTTCAATTAACCCTTAACCCGAAACATAGTACTTTTATTGCTAATTCAAAACATATGGTCTATTGAACCAGTAGGTATAGGTAAAAATTGAAATAAATCAATAACAAATGTAGCATTTGAAGAGAAAAGCAAAATATTAAAGGGTTTATTAGGTATAAACGAGCAAAAAAAACTTATTCATATATAATACTTACATAAAACAAAATGTGTAATATAGAAAACAACATTATTAGTCGTAATTAAGTAAACAAACATATATATTTCTAGATAAAACAAAAAAATATACTACAGCTACCTACTAATTTTGAAGACAGAACGCAAACCTTTCTACTACACTCATCGAGCAAAAAGACAAAAGAGGGAATCTAATCCTTATGAAAAGGAGACCAAAAAAGTGGCCTCTAATGGCGGTCATATCCGGAAATGCGAATGCGCCAAATTTAAATTTTCCGACACTTATTAACAGTAGCTTTATAATATTTTTCAGAATGTGTCTTAGACGGGAAAGTTTTAATTAATTATTAACGATAATAGTCTAAAATGCGACACAATTGTTAAAAAACTTCAATATAAATAAGATTTCATGTGACATTTGGGACAAACAATAACATAACCCAACTAAATTTGATGTCAAACAAGGAGAAAGACTCTCTTTCCTTGTTTAAAGTGGCCTCTAAAAATCGCACTTCCTGTCTAACAATATGTTTGCCCCCACTACCTTTACATTCCCTCTTTTGTCTTTTTGCTCGATGACTACACTCCAAACAAATAGCATTTGAGCAACGTACACATTTATAATTTGTCTTCCTCATATTTGATGATGGACAAATACTACAAAATTTTCTTTTGGGAAGCTTATCATCTAAAAAATTGTCGTCGACATTCTCGACAGGAACTTCGGGATTTATCCCCAAAAAAATCTCTATCTGTTTTCTAAGGTCTCGGGGAAGATTTGTTTCAAGTATTTGCCTTAGATGAGGCTGAATTAGTTCAAAGGCCAAATCTTTTACAAATTTAAAACGTGGAAGTAATTTATTGTCTTTGTAACAAAGATAAAGGATGTAACTGTTGACTGAACTTATATTTATGAGTGTATAAAATACGGCTAAGAGCCAACGCCTTGTCCGGCGGTTTGCACTATAATATGCACACTTCATGTCTAAAACATCAACTCCCGATTTTGTTATGTTATAGTATCGAATTATTTCTGGTTTTCCTAACTCATTGTCTTTGCTGTAATGCATAGAGGATAATAAAAGAACAGCTCTATTTTTTCGGTACATATAATATCAAGGTTAGTTATGTCATTGGAGAAACCATAGAGTGTTGTTCCAATGTCCCTACTTTTATTAGCCTGGAATTCCAAAGGAACTTCTCGCTTATTTTTTTACTGTACCCACATACGTGAGGTTGCGTTTTTGCAACTCTGTGACTAACTCTATTGAAGAAAAATAGTTGCTGTAATATTTCGGTTAGAGCCCTCTATTGGTTTGGATAGTCGAATGACACATTGAGCAGGCTTGGAAAGCTTCAGTTCTTCTTCTGAAAGTCCAACACCATCCGAATATTTCCCTGAGTATATATATATATATATCCATTATAGAAATATGAGCTCTTAGCATCTGTCATGCACATTACTTTTATGCCGTATTTCGCAGGTTTACTGGGCATGTAAATTCGAAAACCACAGTGACCTCTAAATGGAAGTAGCATCTGATCCACAGTTACATAATCTGACAACGTGTATAGCATCTGTCAATTAGTCACAAAATTATTAAAAATATTTGAAACAGCCGCTGTTTTAATCAGTTTTCTTCCGCTCTTCGCGATCCATGCTATTGTCAAATCTAAGGGCGAGCGCCCACCAAAGTGGCGTGGCAGTGGCAAGTAGCAAGTAGCACGCGTCTAACATAATGTAACCAATGAAAACGAATGATTCAGTTTACACCAAAATGACAGTAACGTCATTCATTCTAATCATTCGTTAGGATTGGTTACATTATGCTAGATGCGTGCTACTTGCTACTTGCCACTGCCACGCCACTTTGGTGGGCGCTCTCACTAAGACACGACAAAAGTGTTTCAAATCCTTTCAAAAACATCGTCATTCTGAATATTGGCCGACCCAAAACATCTTTAGAAAACATTTGAGCATATCTTCACGAGAAGATTTTATAATTAAATATAGCATAAAAAGCACAAGCAAAGCCTTCAACTCAACTATATTTGTGCTTCTGTAGTTTGATGTATTAGTCGAATCAGATAACTTTTCTGATTCCCATTATAATAATTTTTTGGTTTGTCCATGTTAGAATTTGTTCCAACATTTCATCAATAATCAACAACTTCCAAATATCTGATTTAGAAGGGCTATTTTCCAGAGTCCTGCTTACCGCTGTTAGGTCTCGTAATTCTCTGACAATGTTATGTGTTCGTGTCCTTGTATTTCTCGGAGGCTTCGTTCCCTGCCATTAAAAACCATTTTTTCCTTTGAATATGTTCACATCCCCTTCTACTTGTAAAAAGTCGGTTCTGGATTGTAAATCATTCGACGGTTCATCTAATTCCAAAAGTTCGTGATCTGAATTCAACTCTTCGTTGCTAGAGGGTTCACTTTGCCGAATTATATAGTTGGGATCTTCATCCGAATCATTTATAACATCTCTCATGTCCTCGTCACTCCCTTGCTATAATAAATATAAATCTTGATCGTCGGCAAGTAGTAATCTTTGTATATTCTTTTCAAAATCTGGGTCAGCCAGATCTACTTTTTTATTACGGCCAGTTCCTATCCATTATTACTACAAAATTAAAATTTTTTAGAGTAATTATTTATAATATAATTATATTAGTAATTATTATACAAAAAATATTAAATACCTTATTGTTTATCAGTACACAATCCGTAACAAGTGGCCTTCTAGACCTATCATTAAAACACTGCAATTCGAAACACCTGGTTTACTAGACCTACACGTTTTGAAAACTACTGTTACTACGACGTAAACACTACGATCGCTACGATACGATACGATAAGCGATCGCTACGATACTGCAGAACTATTCTTGTTCTACACTATTAAGAAGGTATTTAAAAGAACAGTGCATGCGGGCTACACTGTTGCCGCCATTAGCAGACTATCTTTCGCTGTGGTCCGTTAGACCAATGTTTCGGGTTAAGGGTTAAACAATTCTGCAGCAATTAAATTATTTCAAGTATTAATATGTGACAGAAATGCTTATGTTGCATGTTTCCGACGATGACTCAAAATATTCCCAACCTCATTGAACCGACTACAGTAACTTCATTAGTTTACCATACTGTACTTACCAAATGGATACCAAGCAGAAGCTTCTTTATCGAAATATTTTCGGACAGAAGCTACAGCATTTCTAATTGCTAATGGTACAGCAACACTTACACAAATTGCAGGTTCACCAACAGCTAAAATTTAAAAAATAATAATACAACTGGACCAAGAAGCCAGAAAAATTGGAACAAATATGAATCATGATAAAACAAAAGTGGTGACAAATAGAAATATTAGTTTTTTAAATTGTTTGAAGAATAAATACGGACTTTTGGTTATGAACATTTATTCTGTGCGATTGGTATTATTTGTTGTTCATGAATTTGTAAGGTAAAAATATCAAACAATTATGATATTTACTATGAATGTTGATATTTTAAGATTATGTTATTGTTTGAATAAAACTTATTATTAATTATTTTTTACTGTATGTCAAGCTATTTTATTGTTGTTTTTATGGACGTTATATCAAAATTAATCAATAAATAATTAAATTTATTTAAGAAGTTAAAAAATATTTAAATTATTGTTTTATTCTTTTTTGAGGGCTAGCAATTTTATCTCCTAAACCTAAAAAACTAAATATATTCGTTTTCTCGTAGTTTAAACAGTTAATAGTAGTTTTGTTTTCATTACTGAAAAATTCAGTAATAATGGATATCTTTAATACTTGTTTACTAGCCATTATACGCCCAGATCTAAAAAATTAACTCAAAGACTATTACAACATTCAAAAAAACATTTTTTTAAACACTTATTATGTCAATTTTATAAAAAGGTTTCCACAGAATTTTATATTACAACTTAGATTACGAAAAAACGAATATCTTTAGTCTTTTACAGGATGAAATCACTGGCAACGAATAAAGAATAAAACATTAAGTTAAATATTTTTTAACTTCGTAAATAAATTCAATGATTTATTGATTTATTTTGAAATACCCCTGATAAAAACAACAACAAAAGATCTTGAAATACAGTAAAAAAATAATTACGGTTTTATTCAAACAATATCATAACCTTAAAATATGAATATTCATAGTAAATATCTTCATACTTTGATATTTTTACCTCACAAATTCTTGAACAACAAATAATGCCAATCGGACAGAATGAATGTTCATAACCAAAAGTCCTTATTTATTCTTCAAACCATTAAAAACGCCAATATTTCCCACTTATTATAGGACAAATACACACAAATTAGAAATGTTTGGAAAGGTTTTTATAATCCCCGCTCATTGTGACGTCAAACATATTACAGTTCGTTAAGATCAGATTTTTAGAGAGCTTTTAAAAACTTTCGACTATCTTTTCTCTCGGTTGCTTTAAGTTGGTGGCTCGCTCGTATTCATCTGGTATAAAATGGTCTTTAGCACCTCCCAAAACTGAAAATCTAAGAGAGCTAAGTCTGATGACCGAGGGGGCCATTTTATTTTAACTTGTGTACTAATCACACGTTCACGAAAAATTCAATTTAAATAGTCTTTGATGGCCTGTGCATTAGATGAAGAACAGTCTTGTTGAATTGGGTTAAAGTTGATTTGGAGATGTTTAAGGGCACAAATAATTTGATTTCCCAGTAATCAAAATATTTAATAAGATTACTGCGTTTAGATTTCCTTCGATCAAAAAAGAACTTAAGGTCTTAATAGGAGATTTTAATGCAAAGATAGGTAAGGAGAGAGATTACATGTCAACCATTGGAATTCATAGTTTACATGAAGAGTCAAACAACAACGGAACTCGACTAATGCAAATGACCTCCTTAATGAACATGGTAATTGCCAGCACGTGCTTCAGGCAAAAAGGTAAGGGAACATGGAGAAGTGCAGATGAGAATACAGTAAACCAAATTGACCATGTTGTGGTTGATGCAAGACAGTTCAGCGACGTGATAGACGTACGTGCAAGACGCAGGACGAACATAGACTCGGACCATTACCTACTACAAGCTAAACTAAGAGCTAGAATCTCCAATGCAAAGAAAGAAAAGGGAGTTAAAGAGGAAAGGTTTAAAGTGAAAGCGTTGAAGAATCCTGCGATAGCTAAGAGATTCGAGGAAAGTCTTGAAAGCAAGCTGAAAGGCTGCACAGATTTACTGTTATTTTCAAGGTCATAGCTCTTGTCAAAATCCATTACTTCTAACAACTATTGGATGCAGTGCAGAGCCATATTGGAAGAAGTGGCAACTGAAGTTATCGAAAAGCAAAAACGTAAAAAATTAAGATCAGACGATGAAGAACGTTTAAGATGCTTTGAACGTAAAATCCTCCTGCATATTTATGGAGGAGTACAGGAGGGCGGATTATGGCGTAGACGCTATAATTTCGAACTTTACCGCCTGTATGACAAACCTGATATTATTAGGTCCATCAAAATAAACCGGCTGCTGAGGTTATAACCAAAGAATAGACGGAGTGAGAAGGGGAGGCAGACCCAGAGCACGATTTAAGGATCAGGTAGAGGAAGACTTAAGAATGTTGGGAGTACGAAACTGCAAAGCCAAGGCGAAGAATAAGAGAGAATGGAGACTTATCCTTGAGCAGGCCAAGACCCACCATCGGTTGTGGAGCCAATGATGATGAATATGATCTCTCAAAATTCTACTCCAAACAAAAATGCTCATTTTCTTGAGACCGATAGCGTCCAACGGATGTATCATGTTTCGTGTGAATTGTGGAGGACCCGTCTGTAAACAAAATATTCTTCAAAAAATTAATATTTTCATTGAATTTTCCCATCATAATTTCACAGAATCCCATCCGTTTAAAATGATCATTTGTATATAGTAAGTATTTACCTTTAGATTTTAAAACTCCCACTGGATTTGGATTTCTTCCTGGCAGTTTTACCCTAAAATCGATTGGTATATCCTTGACACCAGGAGGAGTGTAATTCCAAGTCCTGTTAGTCAAAATTTCTCCATTTTTACCAACTACAGTTTGTTCCGTGGTGAAATATCCAATACCCATGACGAAAGCACCCTCGATTTGGCCCACGTCGATTTCCGGATTCATGCTATCGCCTGCGTCATTCAAGATGTCCACTCTGTTGAGCAAGTGCTGTCCTGTAAGAACATCTAGTTCTATTTCTGCTGCACAAGCTGCATATACTGAGTAACCGGCCAGTTTAGGAGCTTTTTTTGAGTACCTAAAATATACTCAGACAGTTAAATATGAATTTTTATAAAATATTTTATTATTTAAAATACTTATCACGCCTAGATAGATCGATACATTACATACACAAAAAAACACGGCGAGCGGCACTTGGAGAGTGCCGACAGAAGTGACAGAAGTACTTCTTATAGCGCGTTATTAGTATGTGGGTCAATGAAATTTTATTTTTGCTTATTACTGAATTTTTATATATTTTTTTAATAGCTCCTCATATTTAAGTTCTTTAATATTTAAAAAAATCTTATTTTTTAAATGTTGTTAATGATTTTTAAAACAAATTGTTAACCCCCTCTGTGGCTCAGTGGTAAGAACGCCTACTTTTGAACCTAAAGGTCGTGAGTTCGAATCTCACCTGGGTGGAGACATTTTCGTTTATTAAAAATTAATAAATGAAAATAATTTCTATCCTTGTGCGATCGGTACTCACCGGAGGAAACGCAGACGTTCGGATACAATTAGCGTCTCTTAGCAAAGACAATGACGTCGACTTTGCTAAGTATCAAGACAATTACTCTACACACACACATACTACACTAGGCACCTGACTGTAAAAATTCACGGTACCATGCCAATGACCATTAGTTGTCGACGCAATTAACTGAATAAAAAAAAATTGTTAAACATAAGACAAAATTTATACATGATTTGCATTTTCATTATTATCTTGTATTTATGTTTAATTACTTCATTATGACTATCATTATACGGAGAATCCAATCAACTGTCATTTACAGTCAGTCATTAAATTTTTAAAATAATAAACTTTTTGCATATAATCCACGTAAATATAAGGTATGATCTAGTGCACTTCTGACCTGATTTTTACTATACCTACTATATCCTCAAAGCAAAACAACTACAACACAATGACCTTCGAATTATAACAAATCTATATTATAAACAGCAGGCACATATATGCATTAGTGAACACACATCAGAAGGGTTCGAAGTTAAAAGAGGAGTGCGACAGGGGTGTGTATTGTCACCACTACTATTCAATGCATACTCTGAAGAAATTATGAAAAGAGCTCTTGAGGGAGAAACAGCAGGAATCAAGGTCAATGAAACACCAATTAACAACATTAGATATGCGGACGATACTATCATAATAACAGACAACCTCTAAGACCTCCAAAAGCTAATGAACAAGATAGTTGAGTATGGAGAAGAATATGGATTATCAATAAACACCAAGAAAACCAAATTTATGAGGATATCAAAAACCCAAAATAATGGTGAAAGCCTGACAATTAACGGTAGTGCTTTAGAACAAGTTGAAAAACTACCACTATCTTGGCACAATAATTAATCACACAAACGATTACTCCAAAGAAATCAAAGTTCAAATAGAGAAAGCACGTACAAACTTCAATAAAATGAGAAAGGTACTTTGTGCAAGAGAACTAAAATTGGACTTGAGGGTTAGGCCGGCAAGGTGTTATATTTTCTCGACTCTGCTTTATGGGATGGAAGCATGGACACTTGAGGCGTCGACTGCTAAAAAGTTGGAAGCATTTGAAATGTGGGTCTATAGAAAAATCCTGAAGATATCATGGAACGAACATGTGGAAAAGAATGAAAGTATTGGAAACCGTCAACACACGAAAGCTGCAATACCTGGGGATTGTTATGCGTAATGAGAGATACAACCTACTTCAATTGATTATACAAGGGAAAATCCAAAGCAAGAGAAGTGTAGGAAGAAGAAGAATCTCATGGTTGTGTAACTTGAGGAAATGGTACGGATTCACATCAATTGAACTATTCAGAGCAGCAGCATCTAAGATCAGAATAGCCATGATGATTGTCAACCTCCGTCGCGGAGATGGCACGTGAAGAAGAAGACTATTTTTTTACAATTTCATCATATTTTCTCACCTTTTAAACTTTCCTAGGACTTCTACAAATATTTCAAAATCATAATTATCCAAATCGAAATGTTTGTTAAACGTCATTTTATTTTTATAATAAGTGTATTTGTATATATACATTCGGTTTTATAACGTCTTACGACGTTGTCCGACTCCCAACCGCCACTGTATTCGGTCTTGAGTTAGGTCTTCGTCCAGATTTCGAGCGCTAATCGCTTTCCTAACTCCCAGGTTCCAGCTCTGTGGTGGTCTTCCTCGTTTCCTCTTCTCTGGGGGTTGCCACATCATCGTTTTTTTAGGCAATCTTTCGTCCCCCATTCGGTTCACATGTCCATACCATATGAGCTGTTTTCTCTCAATATCCTCAACTATAGTGCCCTCTATACCCATTTGTTGTTTTATCACTTCATTCCGTATTCTGTCGGCTCTTGATATTCTCATCGCTCTTCTGATGGCATCCATTTCCGTGGCTTCGACCTTTTTCTTATATTTCTCGGTTATTCTCCATGTTTCAGCTCCATAAAGTAGGCTAGTTTTAACCATTGTCTCATAGATGTTCCATTTTCTTTTCTTTGATATTTCTTTACTCCATAGAACTCCGTTCAAACATGCTATAGCTCTTCGTGCTTGTACAATTCGATGTTCTATTTCTCGTTCGTCTTTTCCACTACGGTCGAAGATGACGCCCAGGTATTTATATTCGTCACATGGATTTACTTTTTGATTGTCATCGATATCGAGTTGTTCTGCTTCAGCTCCAATTGAGAGGTATTTTGTCTTTTCTAAATTGATATTTAATCCCCATTTCTGGTATTCTTCAATTAGTTTTCTAAGCATGTATTCCATGTCGTCTTTGTCATTTGAGATCACCACCTGATCATCTGCAAACTGTAAAGTATATATGTAATCCTGATCGTTCAATTGTATACCCATTCCTTTGACTTTCCTTTTCCATTGTTTCAGAGCTGCAGAGATATAAATCTTAAACAGAGTCGGAGTGATACAACATCCTTGTCTGAGACCCTTAGTAACTGCAAATTTTTCAGCTAAGAGATTTCCGAATTTCATTTGGGAGTTTGAACCATAATATAGATCTTTGAGAGCACTAACCAATGTTTGATGTATATTTGATGTGCCCAGGACTTCCCATAGTTTATTTAGCGGGACTGTGTTATATGCCTTCTCAAGATCTACAAAAGTCATATGTAACTCTCTATTTGTGTGTATTTGTATGTGTAAATATTATTGTATACCGCAAGGTTACTGCACGCGCCTCGATATTTCGCGTCACGCTAAATATTATTTAGGGCCCCTGCAAAAACATGATATCGAGCGATAAGAACATAAGAAGTATTCACTTCGAATGCCTAAAAATATGTGATATACGATATTATGTGATATACGAAATATGTGAGAAACGATTAAATTCTATAAATAATAAACTAATTATGCGAAGCATACATGAATTTTAAATTGACTCATTGAATTAACTACTTACATCGTATTAGCTACCAAATTTACACATTCTCTGTGGCTTTTTTTAACAAGTTCCTCCCAAGTTGGATTCGACATAGATTCTTTGATAGGTTTCATCCTCTCCAAAAGAATCTCACAACATTCTGAAACAGCCTAAAATAATGATTTAAACCTCTATAAAAACTGAATTTATTTTCGGCAAAATACAAAAATTACAAATGAAGGATGCACTCTTCACCTTTAAAACGCATTTTCGTTTTTGTTGATAGGTACTCTGAAATTTATATTTTGAATATTCTGGTATTCTGAAATTAAATCTGAAAAATTTAACTGAAATTAAAAATCGTCGGTCGCTTTAAGCGTTTGTTTCTGAGAGAACGGTCATTCTACATGAAAAGTGTGAATAAACATTTTTATTCAAAATTATCTCAGATACATTTTGTATTTGAAATATTTTTTGTATGGCGTTCAGATTCTTGGTAAATCGATCTCCCCCATGAGGTGTTCTAGGGGAAGCTTGGGGATAAAAGTGGTAAATTTTTTAAAATTTTTCCCAAAATTGACATCCCTGCAATCCCTGCGCCTCTTTCTAATGTTCCGTGTTTATCGACCACGTGAGCAAAATAACCAATGACAAGGTCTCTCTGTTTCTCTAATGGCGGTACAGCCCAAATCGGGCCTTGGCCTCCTCCAGACTATGCCTCCAACCTAGTCGGTCCCGCGCCGATCTTCTCCAGGTTCTCACGTCTAGCAAATTTTGCACGTCCGTTGCCACTTCTTCCTTCCATCTTTTCCATGGCCTTCCTTTTGGTCTTGCGCCCTGAATTTTACTATCTAGGGCTCTTTTCGACAAATTTTTTGTCTACATTCTTCCTACATGACCAGCCCAGCGAAGTCTCTGAAGTTTAACGAATTCTGAGATCGGTGTCTCTTTGAACAGTTGGTAGAGTTCATGGTTGTACCTGGATCTCCATATTCCGTTTTCGTTAATAGGACATCTTTCTTAGGACTTTTCTTTCGAAGACTTCCAGTTTTCTTTTTGTCTCTTCTGTCATCACCCATGTCTAGCATGCATAACATACTATTGGTTTGATAATAGTTTTATAGACCCCGATTTTCGATCTTCGGTGTGTGTTTTTGGAGCGGAACACATGATCGAGTGAAAAATAAGGTTTGTTTTCCTTTACTATTCTTCTTTGGATTTCTGGTTCTTCTGTTCCATTCGTCTTTAATGCAACTCCTAAATATGTGAAACTTTCTACCGTTTCAATATCGTCCTCTAATTCAACTGTGCGTCTGTGTCTCCTAGCTCTTGCCTATGATAACTTTTTTGTCTTTTGAATATTTATTTCTAGTCCAGTCTTTTTTACCTTTCTTTTTAATTGTGAATATATTTCTGCCGTTTCTTCTGTTTTGCGAGACATGATGCTGATATCATCGGTATAGGCGGCAATCTGTATTGATTTATTTGTTAAGAGATTACCTCTTCCTATATTCAGCTGTCTTTTCACATATTACAATGTCAGGTTGAATAGTGTCGGTTCCAGCCCATCTCCTTGCTGTAAATGAATAGGAAATGTGAGCGTTATGTGAAGTTATGGAAAACGCTGTCACCAAATGAAATACACAATAGATCCTCATGGGATGCTAACCCTGCGAGCGGCTGCAAGGAATACTGGTCACACTGGTCTGGAGGGCTGGCTCGTCTTCGTGGATTTACGAGAAGATAAGGGATTTCGGGATAGGGGTAAGGACTCCTAGGTCTCAGGTCCTGTAAAGAGCAGAGGTTATGGGCTTACTTTTGAAGCCGGAGATATGCATACGCAGAATCTTGTGTTCTCCTAGTCTCTAGTGAGTCGGACGAAAGGAACATTAAAAAAAACCAAATTAGAGTCAACAATATATTGAATCTACCCTGAAGTTACTAATACAATCGTTAACACGTTATTCTGCGCGTCGGGAGACGATGTAGCAAGATAGTGAAGAGTTGACAGTGGTACTAATATAATTACCCAGGTTAGTATAAGAAATCTGTTACCTTATGTGTATATTAGGGCTTCAACCACGACACGTTCAGTCGTCTGGAACTCGGTCAGTTGAGGGTTGCGAACTTTCGAGCTGCCACAATAACCGGACTACACGCGAACTCTGCCAGCTGATACGCGGCCCCCGGAGAATCACCGATTGTCTCGCGTACTGTTCGCGTACTGGACGCTATCGCGTCCAGCCGGAGTTCAGCAATTACTGACTGCCCATTACTGACTACTCATTACTCGACGGTACCGCGTCGAGAGTACCCGGGGCGGCAATTGATGCCTGGACGCCCGCCGTCTCACTACTAATGACTGACTACTACTGGTTCGGTTTTTATCAAATGGTGTCCTAGTTGACCGGTTGTAGTCCAAGGTTACGTTTTCGCCGAGTTGTAGTTTTGGCGTTATTGCTGCCTATTTGGGTCACGGGTGTTTCGTGCTTTTTATACGTTTAAACAATTATCAAACAATGCAATAACTAGGTCAATTGTTATACTTTGTATAATTTAAATGTATAAGTTAACTGTATTAATTATCCCTTATTTAATTTGGAATATATGATAATTATCTCGAATAATTATTATCTTTTCTATGCTACTTATTATTCCATTATCCCTTTATTCCAACTTCTCACTTACTTGCTACGCTCACATTACATTGCTTTAATAATTGGACTATTGTAAAGTTTTCAGTAAGCTCATTTTGTACTCTGACAGTTGCTATTGACGAATCCATTGTTGTTTTTACCAGTCGGATGTATTTTTGGGGGATATTAAAGCTTTACAATATTTGATATAACTTGTTCCTATTAATTGAGTCGTAGGCTTGTTTGAAATCTATGAATATGTTGTGGACGTCAATGTCGTATTCGCATGATTTGTTTAAAACTTGTTTCACTGTGAATAGTTGGTCAGTTGTAGATCTTCCTTGTCGGAAACCGGTTTGATATTCCCGACAATATTTTCAGTTAGTTGTTGGAGTCGTTTGATTAGTATATAAGTAAAAAATTTGTATGTCGTGCACAGGAAGGTTATGCCGCGATAATTTTCGCATTTCAGTTTATCCCCTTTTTTATAGATTGGCCATACAATCCCGGTTTTCTAATCATTAGGGATATTTTCATCATTCCAAATCTTGTTCATGAGCATATGCATTTGTCCTGCTTGGTGATCACCACCTAATTTATATAGCTTAGGGGGACGTTGTTAATACCTGGAACCTTATTGTATTTTTGTGCTCGTATTGCTGTTTTACTTCTTCCATAGTTGGGGGTTCTATATTTTCGGTGTCTCCCTCATTGTGATGCATGTCCATATGCTCTTCATTTTCTTGTGTCCCTAAGAGGGTTTGGAATAGGTTTTCCAGACTGATTTTATTTTTTTGGATCACTGGTTATTTGCCCTTCTTGATTTCTGCATAGATTTGTTCGGGGTTTGTATCCTTTTCTTAAATTGCGTAGATATCTGTAGGCCTGTCTTATATTGTTGCTTTAAAGTTTTCTTTCATTTTCTGTATATTGCCGTTTTCTTATTTTCTTTTCTCTGTTAGGCATATTTTATCGGTCCTCCGTCTTGCATTTTGGTAACTTGTCCTTCTTTCTCTGGTTCTTCTTTCCATATATTTCTTGTGTTCTTCATTTCTTTTCTGTATGGCTTTATTACATTTGTCAGTGAACCATTCCCTTTTTTGTATTTTTCTTTTTTTTTTTGAAAGTGGTAAACTTTTTTGAATCTTTTTTTGGGTCCCAAAATTGACAATCTCAGTAAAATTCAGCTTGTTCGTATGATTTTTAGAGGTCAAATCTCTGACGACAGGACTAGTAAATACTAAATATATGTTTTTATTTAACGCATAAAATATTTAACAGTTCTCAATATAGACATAGAATACAAATAGCGCTTCAATAGAGGCCCGTTCCTCTAGTGCGACAGAAAAGTGATGCAAAGCAATCCCTGCACCTCTTTCTAATGTTCCGTGTTTATCGATCACGTGGGCTAAATGACCAATGAGAAGGTCACATGGTCAATAAACCCGGCTTGTTAGAAAGAGACGCTTTGCGTCAGTTTTCTCTGGCGCACTGGGAGAACGGGGCTGTACTGCAGCGCTCAGTCTATTTGTATTATATGTTTATGGTTCTCAATCTAAAAAAATGTGGTTATGATAGAATAATTGAATAGTACATCAAAAAAGTCAATGTTTTATGCCTTTTTCTTGCTAATATATTTTGTAACCACATTAGTTTTTTCAGTGATCTTACCCAACAGACTCCTTCACTTGCCAAACTGGCTCCTGTCATTCCCGAATTTGCTCCGATCAAGTTGTTACTCGGTTTAACTGCAATCTTCTCCATCGGAATGCCAAGTTTGTACGCACAAGTTTGAATCGCCTAAAAATAATACTTATTATATGATTGATGTAATAGAAATCTATAAAACGCGACAGAGTTTGGCAAAAGTGGCGATTCACACGACTTGAAGTAGTTTAGTGTCTAAGGCTAACATATCCTTTTTGGCCAAAGTAACAGTATATGAGTCGATCGTAAGATCAATTTTGACTTATAGGTCTCAGATATGGGGTCTTTTTAAGTACAGTGAGGTGGAAATCTGTGGACACTGTGTGGACACTGTGTTCAGTGTCAAGCTGAGAATAGGGTGCTCGAATCAAATTTTTGTTGACACTACAAAGAACTGCAGGAAGAAGGAATAAACATGCTAATAAGTATCAGATCGGGTTGTAAATGATAACAACAGTATAGGAAATACTACCGACTTTAATTATCACTCCAAAACTTAAAACAAATAAATATACATTAATTAATCGATCGTCCCATCCGCACTGCATGGTTGCCAATACATCACAATCCTCCCTCATAGATGAATCTACTCATCATATTCCTTCAAATACCATGGAGGTTTTCTTATTCGAGCAGGTGGCTTTTTAACTTCAGCGGCCTGCTCTACAATTTCTGGTTCTGACTCCACAAATTCGTTTGGATGCAGAAACAGCGGTTGCGGAGTTACGAGTAATTTTGTTTCCATCGAGGTTGACGATGTAACTTGTTGTTTCTTGGTCACACACACACACACACACACACACACGGGTTCTGATTTGGTCAGAATGACGACGTAAAATTTTACCATCAGGGGTTTGAACTTTGTAGCTTAACGGTCCAGTGGTTTCAATTATTTTGGAAGGAAGCCAATTTTGACTACCTGGAGCAAATGACCTTGCAAATACAGTCTCGTTTTCTTGAAAACAGCTGGGTACTATTTTGTAAGAATCTTTCATCTCTTGCTTAGATAACATCTCTTTTCTAAAGTCGGTAAACGATCAAATAATGAGCCCAATTTTCGCCTCCATTAATATTTCTGATGGGCATCTCCCTGTTGTACAATGGGGTGTAATGTGCTGAGTAAAGAGATATCTGTGCAATGCTAACTGTATTTTAGTTTATTCATTACTATCTGTCATTTTTTAGTGCATTTTTTACATTTTGTACCATGCGTTCCGCTTGCCCATTACCACTTGGATGGTACAGTACAAACAATGCTTGTCTAATAAGGTTTTTCTTTAAAAAATCTTGGAACTTTTCTCATTCTCGCCGGATTTGATCATTCTCGCCGGATGTTTTTACATTACTGAAGTGCCAGAGGTGACCTAATTTATTGCAAGCAAACATCAAACAAGCAGCAAGTTGCCGACAAGGTTCAAAAGGATTTCAAGTTTTTCTATCAACTACCACTGTTTTTTACGAGTTCAACCACAAGGCGAAGCCGGTTTCATTTCCAGACAGCGAGGATTTGGATGTCGTCTTCACAGGTTGAAGTACTAAGGATTTGGTATTGTAAGTAGTCATTTAAATTTGTTTGGATTTATTCAGGTGGTTGAGTGGTTTGCATTTTTTATTCTTGATTGTACATTTACATGATGGAAGACACAGTTAATCCAGAATTACCACATATGCCAACTCAAATAGCATTACAAAGTCAAATTGCTAGATTTACAATTAGAAAGAACGCAGCAATTAGTAAATTAAATAGATTTGTAGATTTTTTTCAGTCAGTGAGATTAGAAAAAACATCTGAAACTGAAACAATTCAGTTACAAACTAGATTGGATCAATTACAATTTGTATTAAATGAATTTTTAGCTTTACAATTAGAGTTACAATGTTTAGATGCTCAAAGCTTTGATGAATCAGAAACATTAACTTTTGAAAATACATATTACAGGGTGATTTCGGAAGCCAAAGAATATTTATCAAAACAAGGTGAGTCAAAAAAGTCACAATTAAACATGTCTGTAGTTAAAGGTCAATCAAATATTCGTTTACCAACTATAGAATTGCCAAAATTTACTGGTTTATTTGAGAGATGGTTAGAGTTTCGTGATTTGTTTCTATCATTAATTCACAATTCTGATCACATGGAACACATTCAAAAATTTCATTATTTACGTGCATCACTAGAAGGTTCTGCTGCACAATGTATTAAATCCATAGCATTTGTAGCCGAAAATTATGAGTTAGCATGGAAAACACTATGTGACAGGTATGATGATAAATCATTAATTATTCACAATCATATAAAATCATTAGTGAACATAAAAGAATTAAAACCAGATGTTTCAAGCTCCTATAGAGATATTGTTGATTTAATCTCAATAAAACTAGCATCATTAGAAAGTTTAGGCGTTAATAAAAGTCATTTGGCATATTTATTAATTATATTTATTGTCTCTAGTAAATTTGATAATGATACTATTGATGAGTGGGAGAAACAAATAGTAAATACAGATTTTCCTAACCTGGAAGATTTTATTTCATTTTTATCAGATAGAGCAAATTTCATTGACAAGGTCAATAAACATAAAATCAAGCACAAGGTTTCATCTTTCAAACAGAAAGCGTTTGTGGTAAGTTCAGGTGGTCAACAGGATAAGCAGAATACATTATCTTGTTATTACTGCAAAAAACCTCATTTTTTATTTAAATGTAGTGAATTTTTGCAATTGCCAGTCAGTCAGAGGAGGCAAAAGGTAAGTTTATTCAAAATTTGTGAGAATTGTTTTCGTCAAGGACACCAAGCTACTACTTGTAAGCATGGTCATTGTAGGCACTGTCCAGAGAAACACAATTCTTTGTTGCATGATTCCAAGATAAGATATACCCATGTAGTTCACACAGGGTCGCATTTAGATCAAGTTTATGGTCCAGCTCAAGATTTTCAGAGCACAGATTCGCATTCAGATCAAGTCAATACTTCAGCTCAAAGTTTTCAGAGCATAGGTTCACAAGCAGGTCAGTTTTATACTTCTGGTCAAGGTTCTCAGAGCAAAGAGTCAACTACAGCTTATGGTAGTATATATTGTTCTTCAGCTCACAATCCTCAGAGTATAAATTTGGATTCAAATCAAAACTGTCAACTTGAAGCAGATCCAACCTCATATTGTCAAAACAGACATACTAACATTACTGTACCAGTAGATACTCAGCTAAGGAGTACAGTCAGTAATGGGTTGCAAGTTTTAAATCAAGCTTCAGAATCAAATCAGGAAGCTAAACCAGATACAATAATCAAGAATTTTTGTAATTTTTCAACAAGTGGTCAGGTCTTATTAGCCACAGCTTTGGTACAAGTATTTGACAAGCATGGAAATCAGCATATTTGTACAGCACTTTTAGATAATGCTTCAATGTCTAATTTCATATCAAAAGGTTTAGCAGATCGCCTAGGGATTACTCAACAAAGGGTTCAGTTGTCAGTATCAGGACTTGCACAGAATCAGTCGGTCGAATATATAGGTAGAGGTTAAGATATAGCATGTCGATATAGTCGATTTATTTTTGTTATAAGAGTTTGAATAATAAATTTGGTATCTGTGCACATATCCTTTAATTTTTACAAGAGATACAGTCCACTAGTGAAGTTAAACCAGCGCACCAGTTACAAAGGCGAACAGAATCATTCAAGAAAACAAGAATGGTCTAACCTACGCCAACATAGTAAATCATCAAAATAGATGAGAAATTTATAATGATGTAAGTATAACTTTAAACTTACCTTAGTGTTTATGCCTTGACCTATTTCAATTCCGCCATGAGATATTGCCACGCTTCCATCACAATGATATATGGAGACCAATACCCCATAATTAAAAAATATTTCTATGGGGTATTTTATCGGAACTACGGAAATTCCTTTCTTACGCCAAATATTACTCTAAAAAAGAAAATATATATTTTTTTTCATTTTTAAAATATGTCTCTTTTATATATAACGCTAATAATTTTAGGGTTTTTTCGGTTAACGCGTATGAACTTTTCAACATTTAATCAATCCTAGTCAGAAAGTGATTATTGTTTGCCTGTTTTGAAGTAAATTCTGCTCATCCTGGTTTGCGCTCATTGTTAAGGAATTAGTTATAGTTTATTTTTTATGAACGAGAGAGTAATTAGCATAATTTTAACTGGTACCATTCGACCACTCCATGGGCGTGCTCAAGATTAATTGAAAAATTACTTTGGATAATTGTAAAAAATAAATGAATTAATTCAGTGTTATAAAGTGTTATGTGTATGTAAACAAAAGTGACCTCTTTTATCACACACTATATTAGAAGTGACTGGCCTACATTAAAAAGGGTTTTAAAAAATTCACATTTTTTTTAATTTTTAAAAATTACAAAAGAGAAAAAGAGTTTTTAAAACCGTCTAAGGTATGTTAAATAGATGAATAAAAATATTAATATAAAACTTACAGCTACTTGTTACAAATCCAAATCAGATTCAGAAGATGAACTTTCAGAACCAAGATTTATAATAACTGGCTCGATCATTTTATCAGTAATATTGTCCAGCTTCCACATTTTTTCCTCTTCTTTAATAGTGTCATTTACTGCCTTTTCCCAGTTTTCAGGTTTTACAATATTTACGGGCTCCAAAAACAACTGTTTAACATCATGAATTTTAAAAGTGGTAATTTTTTTCTTGAAACTTCACTCTTTATCTGTGCCCATACCAGTTCAATCGGGTTTAATTCACAATGATATGGTGGGGATCTAAGTATGTACTGTCATTCCACGATTTTTGGCAATTTCATCAATTTCGTATTTTTAAAATTTTTCTTTATGAAGGGCACACAACGAATAAAGTTCCTTTCTTATAGATCCGGGATGGTACGTAATATTTTTTGAACTCAGCCAATTCTGCAAGTCTTTTTTTAACCACTTGGTTGTGGGCAGTCCTTCTATAAGTCTGGAGTGATAACTTGCATTATCCATTACTATTACACAGTTCTTAGGAAGAAGATCTATCATTTGTTCGAACCATTCTTGAAAGACATCAGCGTTCATGTCTTCATGGTAGTCACCGGTACGAGTTGATTCAAAAGTTAATAAACCACCTTCAACAAAACCGTCTGAACTGCCAATGTGTACTATTATCAGCCTGCGTCCCTTTCCTGATGGTGGGTTTAAACCAGTAGATAAGTTATTTACAAAAGCGCGCCTTTGACTTGTAACAGTTTCATCCTGCCAAAATTTATTTGGTGTATGATCCTCGTTGATCCATGTTTCATCAAGATAAAATATTTTTCTTTTTTGGTTTCTCATTTCCTTTATGGTTCTTAGAAAATGTCTTCTCCATATGACAATATCGCTTCTTTCTAATAAAATAGACTTTCTGGGATTCTTTTTCCAGCGGAAGCCTATTTCTTTTAAAAGTTTCCATAACGTACTTCGACTCATTTCTGGGTAATCCTTATCATCTCGAACTGAGACAAGAACTTTATCCAATGTTGGAAATTCTTGTCTAAAGAAGAATTCATGCACTTTCCGTCGAAGTCCTTCTTTAAAATGATATTCTATTTGAAATTTTGGTTTCCCTGGAGCATTACGTGGCATTTGAAAACTACCACATTTCTCTTCTTTAATAACTCTGTAAATCGTAGATTTCCCAACACCAAGTGTACTGCTAACTAACTCAACGGTCTCATCAACACTTTCACATAAACGTTTGTCTGTAAATGATTTAAAACAATTAAATATTAATGTTTTTTCATTAATTGTTAAAGGACCAATTTTTCGGCGTTTACACGGCACTTCCAAATTTTCCATAACACTAGTATACATAATAAACTGCACCTTGCAACTGAAGTACCTACTTTTAGTGAACTGTTAAGAATTTTGAATACGCCACTTGGACCTTCCTACAAAATGGAAAAACCCACTATCACATTTTCTGTGGAATAAGTTTAGAAGGTAATTATCTAGTCAATTACTGTCGTAGATTCCTGGAATTAAAGAATATAAATGTTTGATTGTTGACACCCTTACTTCGTGGAATGCACTCATTTCAGATAAAATAAAACGTTTTATTTTATCTAAAGAATTAAACTTTATTTTACAAATAGGTAGGTACTTATTAAAACTTTTATTGGTTATATATAACCAATAAAATAAACATCTTACATTTCTTGCAAATTCATTAGTACGTGTTAACCTCCATCACTCCGACACTGGCAACCTTATTTAGGGATTAGTAACCCTCACAACTATTGTATTCTATTCTGCTCCAACCTTTATACCTGGTGGTCATACTCAATTTAAAATTGTTTTCCTATATACTTCTGTAAACTTGTTGACAAATATCTGTTTTTCATTGAGTCACCCGTATCAACAGTTTAGGGATTTGCATACATAATTTATTGTTTTATTACTCTCTCATACATAAAAATACACTATAGTGTATTCTCATAGCAGAAACAAACTAAATTGATCAAAACAACAACAAAAAAATCTATCAACGATAACATCATATTGTAGTTCAGTTCTCCGGGATACTCCCGTAATAATACGTGGCTGCGATGGTGGTTCACATTTACAGACCGGCTAATTCCTCGGCTGGTAAATTCGAAACCGGTTAAGAACAATTATACTGTATGAATAGTGTGACCAACTAGCCCGAAAAATCCGGGACATGGCCCGAATAACGAAGTGATGTCCCGGCGTCCCGGACAAGGCCTCCAGGCCATCCGAATGGTACTAATACTACATCCAAAACGCATGCAATTTATCGTGGTATTATGTTATAGGAAAACTCAAATTGTGCACTTTTTTTCATTTCTGTATTTTAATTATCCTCTTCCGAAAAGATTATTAAAAAACCATAACAATTCATGTATTATATACATATTAATCATGCCGACCGAGGTGTGCCGCATTCAACGATGTAATGATTGCTGATAAATGTTTTTTTTTTTCGGTTTTGTCAACCATTCTAAGTAGGTAAATGATTCATTTCCAAACCGTTACATGCTTTGAACCAAAATCAAATCTACTGCATTCCAATATGATTTTATGTAGATAAACATTTATTTTATGTCACTAATCAGTTTGAAGCCTCAAATAGATTAGTGATCATCTACAAAGATCCGAAGCATTGTTTAGTTGACTTTACATTTTTCATTCCATTTTATTGTTAATATGGAACCAGAACAAGAAAGTGAAAAAGAGAAAATGCTATTGTACTTTAAATAAAACATTGCAAGAAGAATTCCCATTTTGAAAAAAAATGTACCAGTGACGTAGAATGTGATATTTGTGGATCCGAATTTTCGATCGCCCACAGTGGTAGAGCGGATGTAGTATTAGTAAGTCACATCAAAAGTGAAAAACACCAAAGAGGTATTAGCTCTGCGGCAAGCAGCAAAAAATTGACTGAATTTTTCAAGGCCATAGCACAATCGAGCAATATTGATTTAGAGACTACAGCGTGGGAGGAGCGATTAATTACAGGGACCCGATCCGTCAACTGCGCATGTGCGAAACGACTGCATTCGAAATATTTCGAACCTTCAAATAAAAATTTTAGGCGGAATCTTGCATTGTCAAATAAAAATTGTTTTGAATAGTTCCCTATTTACGTAATTAGTAAATATATCAGTGAACTGTTTTGAAAGTGGTAAAATTTTCTCAAATCAGTCTAAGCTTTCTACGCCGATGCAATGTGGAGAAAATGTGCATTTAAATAAGTGTCTGGAAGATTTCCAGTAGCTTTTTTCAAGCCGAAAGGACTTCTACATTAATAAAGTTTATTTTACAGAAATTATGAAAGTTGTTGGAAAAATACAAACACTCTGTTTTATGTCCGCCATTACTTCAGTTTTTTATGGAAGAGTATTGAAGAATTAAACTATTTTAAACACGTTTTAGAACGAGACAACTTTTCAAAACATCCACCTGAAGACAACGATTTTGCCAACCCATACAAGATTAACCCATTAACCCTAATATGTCATTTAAATTTACTTCATTAATACTTTGTTTACTTTCAACAATAAATAAATTTAAGTATATAATAATACTTATATAATAATTTATTATAATCCTTATCTTCACTCATAAACATGTATTAGGTACGTTAAATATTTTAAACTATCTGGTGCAAAGTTAACAATTTCCATAAGCTTTCACAACAAAATAAACAATCTTACAAGAGTCGTCAATATACATTAGGTTAATGTGATTTTCTTTCTTATTACTCAGAGTACAAGTTATTTATTCTCTATATTTTAGTTATGAATGTAACAATTATGTACCTGTAGAAAGAAATATTGTAAAATTTCTTATTTTTATTCCTAATCGTTTTTATTGGCGATGTCAACGAACTATAGGGGGCGCTTTGACAGATGATCAGCTGATCACGCACGTAGGAAAACAAAACGGAGCTACCATAATCTTTGTAGGTGAATGATTGCTGTGTCTAAAAATTATCCGTATTTATTACCTTCCATTTATTTTTTTATTAACGCAATGGCAAATAAAGAAATTGAAGTTAGTCTGCTCCATATTTTGAAATATATAGGAGACACAAAAAGACCTTTAACAGAAAGCGAGGCCTTGTTAAAGGCTGGCCACGTTGTGTTGTGTGGCAAATATAATAACAAATTAGTAGGTTTGTGTGTGCAAACGACTAATTTAAATTGTGCCCCACATGAAATCACTGTGGATGTGTTAAGAGATGAGTGTGGGTTGCAAAATGGACTTACGCATTAGTCTAGCATTCACCAGTTCCTCATTGATTTTTCTTTCGTGTTTTCCTTTAAGAAGGCATTGAGAGGGAACAACACCTTTCTTTGAAATTTCTTTTGCCCTGCTGCAGAAAAATTTTAATTAAGATCTATTTTAGTGTATATATTTGGTTAGGGTAGGTAGGCACATTATATATAATAAATGTTGCAATTCTGTTCAGAAAATTTAATTGAAAAAAAATCTGTTGATAAAAAATGCTGTGAACACACCATCATATCACTTGATATCGATTTCCCAATTTTTAATTCCTGTGCACAACGATCTTATAGATTTTTGTCACGAGGAAAAAAGTGCATAGTTATTCCTTCCGATCGATAATTACTGCATTGCGGTGCAAAGCAATACGGTTTACATTTACTTTTTAACATTTTGTTACCTTATTGTGCTTTATTTAATAATATTTAAACTGTTTATAACTATGTTATGTGTGTAGAACTAAATACAAAATGTTTTGTTATCCTACGTGCACCAGTTCAAAATTTTACCGCACCGTGCCGCCTCTTTCGTTTGACATCGCCAATAAACTTGCTCAGATTTTTTTAGGTTGGAGATTGTCCCTCCTCGTTGTCGTTGTCACTTTTGATTTGATGTCATTTCAAAGATTGCACATGCGCAGTTGACGGATCGGGTCCCTGTAATTAATCGCTCCTCAGCTCGGGAAGGTGAATGAACAACGCAATATACATCAGTATAATTACCGATGCATCTAACCATGGAAACGTAAAGATGTTCTCGGTTGTGGTGTGATATGAAGGCATGAAGACGCAAATATTGAATTTTACGGCTGAAGATGGGGAAACATCTGATATTATTGTGCAGCTCTTGACGAAATCTCTTAAAAAGTACGTCTCAAGAAAGTTAGTTTCATTTAGTGGTAAAATCCGATGTGGGCAAAATAATGTTTACTACAAACTAAAATCACAGGTGAATCCTAATTTGATAGGAATCGGTTATGCGGCTCACATTATTCACACGTTGCAATGTGGCTGCAATATGTTACCATTTGACGTAGAATTAATTATGGTGAAAATTTATTCACATCTTTATCGCTTAACTGTTCGTGTCACACGTTTAAAAGAGTTTTGTGAAACCGCAAACGTTGAGTACCAGAAAATTCTTGGTTATGGGAAAACTCGCTTTTTGGAAATGTTCATATGCGTGCAATCAATCTTAAAAGTTTATGATGGATTAAAGGGGTATTTTCTGGAAACTTCAAACATGTTCGAAAGTTTGGTTGTTGTTCTTTACATCTAGGCAATGCAAGTCCTATGCCATGCAAGTCTGTCGTTCATGACATATCTCTTGTCTACCATGTTTACATCAGAGCTATTTCTGTGCAATTTTTGATACCATTTTCATTGTTTCCAATAAAAGAAATATACCAAAACATTAACTTTAGATATTTCACCTGGAAATTTCAGTCCAACATTAAATATATTAAAGCATAAATCACAAATTATTACATCCAATAAATAACTTTATAAACTTACACAATAATATGTGATAATGTTCAGTTTTATTCTAAACTATAAATTTTATTATACTGGCAACATGAATTTTGATAGCAACTTGCAGCAAAATAGTATGAAAAATTGAACACGTTTTAATTTTTCATAAAGCACAGGAATTGCATGAAAATAGCTCATGGGCATGCGCTGTTGCATAATCTGTCTTGATTGGCTGTTGCCTAGAATGAAAATTGCATAATTTAAAACCGTCTCAAGAAACGTATTCAAAAATTACTTTTAATCACTTCATGACTTGAATATTTGAATCTAACCTGAATTGCAATTGTTTTTTTTTCTATAGGCTAAGATTTTCAATCGGGCAATCTTACGAAGGTGAAGAAATAGCTGCGATTAAAATGACACAAGCTGATTGATTGACTACAAGTTCCTGTCGTTAGCTGTATTGAACGAAGTAAACAAAGCAGACGCGCGCGGACCTCGGTATTGATAAACAATCAGTGTTGCAAACTGCCACAGTTTGAAGATGTACTCATATTTTGATGGGCTACACCCGCTACCGAGCCGAATTTTGAAAGAAATTTGTGACCAGTGATAAAATTACAGATTAGATTGGAACGAGAACTACACATAACCACATCAACGCAGGGTCAAATGCTTTCAACACTTTGAAAAGAATCATGTTCCGTACAAACGCTTTGCACGAGTTATTGAATTCATCTTTTGTTTACCAGCTACTTCAACAAACGTCCAGCGCGTTTTTTCATTGATTACAAAAATATGGACAGCTGAAAAATCGCAACTTGGCATTGAAATCTTAAAAAATGTTTTGTTCTTAAAATTTAATTTAAAATATGAATGTGTTGATTATGAAGAAATTTCATCGCAAGACAAATATGATTTTAAAAAATAAGCAGTGCAAAGAATTAATATATTTTGTTCGTTGGGGTCAATTTAAAATATGAATGGATTGATTTTTAAATCTTTTGAAGCTGTTTTCTTGTTGCATGTTTAACAATTATATTTTTTATGAAATTATGCCACAATTAGTTGTAATGTTAATTACATTCTTATGTTAAACCAATGTTACATTAACATGAAAATCCAACATCAGTTCTATTTCTAATTTTTCATTTTTTGAGAATGATTTCCGGATTGGAAGTCGAAACGTCAAAAACTAACAAAAATAAATTATTATAACTAATTATCGCTAATCCCATCACAAATATCATTGTCAACATAAAAATGTAAAATAATCAATAAAATGGTGGTATTACAGTCCTTGTTTAAAAAAATAAAAAATGGCATGATTTTCATTGAAAAATCCCGGATTTCAGGTATTTTTTGAGCCTTGTTATAAATTCGATTGAATTGGAGTTGGTCACAATATGTATGAAATATATTTTACCTTATTAAATCTTTCGATTTCTTCTTTCCTTTTATCAATGTCAGCCCATTGCTTTAATTCCAACAAATATTCTAAGATTTTGGGATCTGTTTTTTCAATGTTTTTAATCTTGAACTCCAAAGCATCCATACCTATTTCCATCGCTGTATTCTCCATGATTGATTCGACTAGAGCGACACCCTCAAGCATTCCTGTATAGGTATAAAAGTAAATACAAATTTATATATTTCAAAATATATTTAGATGTTTGGCGAAAAAAAAAAACTACAAAAAGAAATACTGTTATGATAGTATGCCCAAACGAAGAAAGCAGATAACAATTTATACACTATATATACAATAAAACGGAAAAAAAGAGAAACTCAGAATAAGAAAAGTTATAATATGACACAGAACTCCGCCTGTGCCGGTCCTAAGCCCGGATAAAGGAGGAAGGTTGGGCAGTGGGCTGACAACCCACTCCTGGAAAAACACACTGTTACGAAACCTGAACATTTGCCTCGGAACACAAGACGGAACTTTCGGAAACAATTCAAGCTACGAAACATGGACTATATATTTGGAAACTGGAATGTGAGGACACTAAATAAACCAGGAGTTCAAACCGCACTTCTGCAAGAACTAAAAAGATATAAGCTCATGATTAATGCTCTTCAGGAGACAAGATGGCTGGGGAAAGGTGTCAGGGACACTAAAATACACACAATTCTATATAGTGGGAAGGAAAAAGGAAGCAAAGAATGTGGAGTTGCATTTATGGTGGATAATGATTTTAAGTAAAAAATCATAGACTTCCAGGCAGTCAGTGAAATAATATGCAAGTTAGGAATTTGCACCCACTTCTTTAACCTAACAATGATAAATATTTATTGCCCAACAGAAGAACAAGAACAACAGAGGAAAGCTTCTACCAACAGCTGAAGATAGTATATGACAATGCGCCCAAAAATGACATCAAGATTAGAATGGGTGATATGAATGCTAAAATAGACAAAGAGCCGCAGTTCTATGGCACAACAGGAAAATACCCACTACACAATTAAACAAGCCAGAAAGGGGAGTTTTTGATAAATTTTGCCACCTGTTAAAACATGTCTATAAGTTCCACATGTTTCCCACATAAAGACATACACAAAATGACATGGATCATAGAGAAAAGGGCAGCCAGTAGTATCTCAGATGTAAGAACACGGCGAGGAGTATGCTGTGAATCAGACCTTTTTTTATTCCAAACCAAATTTAGATACAGAGTTAACAAAGAAAGACGAAAGACAACAAAGAACAAACAAACTGGACCTGGAAAAACTGAAGATTCAGGAATGTAAAGAGAAGTTCGAAGAAGAGGTCGCAAATGAGTTAAGGATGCTAGAACTGCATTTCATAGAGGGCAAATGGAATAATATCAAAACAGCAGTACTGACAGCGGCAGCGTCCTCCCTGAGAAACAAGAAAAAGGTGAGAAGAGGAGTATGGTTTGATGTGAAGTGAAGACAAGCAATAAAGGAAAGAAATGAAGCACACAAAATGTATATAACAAGAAGAAAATGGGAAAAACGAACATCGTTTGAAGTCACAAGAAATAAGGAATGTATGTAGAAATAAAAAAAAGAGCCTATGAAAATGGAGAAATAGAAAAAATGGAAAAAAATGTCAAAAACAACGAAATTAGAGGGGCTTACGAATACCCTAAAAATGTTAAAAAGTTGGTATAAACCTTAAAAAAGTCTATGTAAAGATGAAAGTGGGCAAATAATCAGTGACCAACAAAAAGTCACAGTATCCTGAAAGCATTATTTTCAAACCCTACTTGGTACACAAGTAGACATGGAATATGGAATGGTTGCGAACTACGTAGAAGAAAATGAAGTAGATAATGGACTAGAAGCTCCAACCATAGAGGAAGTTCTCGAAGCTATTAAGGCCCAGAAAAACAATAAATCCCGGGAGTTAACGAAATACCCAGAGGCTCCAACCACTAGCAGAAAATATTATTGATCGACACTGGATTGAATATTTACAGTCAAACAAATCTTGAGTAAATCATGGGAACATGACATTGATGTTCACAACGAGTTTGTAGATTTCAAACACGCATACGGCTCAGTTAAAAGGAACAAACTATAATAATATATTGGCTGAATTGGCAATACCACATAAGCTAATTAGACTCATTAAAAGCATAATAGATAACACTCAGGCATATGTACGAATACAAAACCACCGAACAGACTTATTCAAAATTTCGCAAGGATTAAAGCGGGGAGATGGGCTGGCCCCAACTTTGTTTAACCTGGCACTAGAGTATGCGGTTAGCCAAATGCAAACTGATCGAGGAGACCTACTGACTAACCGAACGGTTCAACTGGCCGCTTATGCAGATGATGTTAATATTATGAGTAAAACATCAACAGAAGCACAGGAAACATACGAAGAGTTAAAAATGCAAATAAAAATGCTAGGTCTGGAAATTAATACAGAAACAACAAAAATAATGATACAGACAAGAAGAAATATAGTCCCACAAAACATTATACATGAAGATGACATTGAAACGGTTGCAAAGTTTACATAGCTGGGAGTAGAAATATATACCGACGGATCAGAAGATGAAGAAATACGGAAGAGAATAACGCAGGCAAACAGAGCTTATTTTACCCTCTCCCATATATTTCGGTCTAAAAATGTCCACCGAAATACAAAGATAAGAATCTATAAAACCTTAATTCGACCAATAGCATGTTATGGTAGTGAAACATGGGTCCTGAAAGAAACATCCAAAAACAAACTCGATACATTCGAAAGGAAAGTTCTCAGGAGAATACTAGGACCTGTGAGGGAAAACGGAATCTTCAGAAGTCGATAAATAACGAGCTTTATCAACTTTATAAGGAAGCACCACTGTCAGACTTCATTGGAATACAAATATTGCAATCAGCCGGACATGTGATAAGAATGGGAGAAGATAGGCTATCAAAAAGAGCACTGAATACTAGAATGCAGGGAATTAGACTGGTTGGAAAGCCAAGAAAGCGCTGGGAAGACACAATAAACAGCAACGCACAAGCCCTTTAAGGAGTCCGTGTATGGAGAAGATCAGCCATAGGCAAGCAATTGTGAAGGCAAAAAATAAAGGAGGCCAAGGCTCAATTTGGGCTGTACTGCCATAGTAGAAGAAGAATAATATGACACAGACTTGTTAAATATAAGAAGTAAAGCCAACATCGTAACTACGAAATGACAGAGCAAAACAACGGGTAAAAATGGGACCACTAATCGAAATTGGAAAGGGAATTGACCGGCTGAAGAAAAACAAAACAGCGTCCAAAGAGACCAGCTGCATGAATCAATTCCTTTGGTAGACAAAATATAGGAATCAAGTATAATAACCGAAAAAGAAAGAATTGAAAGTGTTATTTCGAATAGCCTCTACGCCATTTTATATTAAACAAAAATCTTTAGCAAACTCTGACGAGATTAGTCTAGTTAATATTTTTCATGAAAACACACAAAGTTTATTAAACAAAATAGATCAGATTAATATTTTTTTTGAAAAATAAAAGATACAATATAAACTCCTGGACAAAATTCACTCATATTTTTCTCAATAATCTTTATTTATTGATAATATACTGGACGACAAGTTGTCTAAGGACCTTTTTGGCAGTCACAGTTGTTATGTAAGCTAATAATAATCTTGTTTTAACAATAATTATTATTAAACTTCGTTTTAGACTAAAAGTGAGTTAAACTTTTCATAAAAAGCGCCGATTAAAGCAAAGTGCTTGTGAGAAACAAGCTTTTTATTGTGATATTTTTCATCATATGCATGTTTGGAAGTTCATTTGTATAAAAATCATAAAAAAATGATCCGCCAAAAAAATTTGTCAATGGAGGAGGCAGTGCGAGCATCGACTCTCCTAGATGAAGGATATTTAATGCGATACGGTGCAGGTTTGTTCAGAAGACATCATTTCAGCATCAGTCGCAAAGTGAGGCGATATAATCATAAAAGGTCGTACCATCGAAGACCAGGGCAAAGGCGAAAACGTTGCACTAATCAAATTAATGATCGTTTTTTGAGACAACGTGCTCTCAGAGACAGGATAGTCACCAGCAATTTGCTAAAAATGAATTATAGCAGATGTTCTAAATGTCGCAATACCATCTCGAATAGTTAGAAGACGTTTATATGAAGCAGAATTGAGCAACAGGAAACCGGCCAAATAACCCTTGCTTACCAGAGAACACAGGGTTCAGAGATTGAATTTTGCAAGATTGCATCAAAATTGAACCATCGATGATTCAAAACGAGTTCTTTTCTCTGATGAGACTAGAGTAAGCCTAATAGCTCCAGATGGTCGTGAGCGTGTCTGGCGAAGGCGAGGAGAAAGGTTTGCCAGCTGCAATATCTCTCCTAAAGTATCTTTTGGTGGCTCTAAAATGATTTGGGGGGGGGGGGGAATTTGTTTTGAAGCTCGTACGGAGAGTTGGTCCTCATACGTAGTACGAGGTCTATGAATGCCCTATTTAGAGACAATATTATTGTCGAACATGTAATGCCTTTTGCTCCGTTTCTTGGACCGATTTTTTTATTCATGCGAGACAACGCTCGTCCTCGTGTGGTTCGACAGGCTATTGGCTACCAAAATGATGTTGGTATGTCATTATTAAAGTGGCCACCTAACAGTCCGGACATGAAGCCTATAGAGCATCTATGGGACTATCTCAAAAAACTATTCGAAGTCGTAGACCCCTTATTGCCAATCACAACCAACTCATTGAGGCCGTTATTGAAGAATGGGAGAATATTCCGCAAGCTTTTGTTGAACATTTGATATCAATCATGCCTCGACGCACAAATGCAGTCATAAGAAGTAGACAAGGGCCTAAATGATATTAGTGTTGACCCAGATGCATTTTATTGTGTTACTTCGCACATCTTCACAGCTTTGTACATAAGTGGCACTAGTAATACTGAATATATTAAAGAAAGATAAACTGCGGTTTTATGAAAATTATGAGAAATATGTTGGGGGAACATTTTATCCTAATTCGAATTAGAAATAAAATCGAAGATGTTATCCAAGAAATGAAAAAACATAAAATGGATTTTGCTGTACTCTCAGAAACAAAGAAAAAAGGACAAGGAACCCAAAATCTTGATGGATATATACATATACACACGGGAGTTAATAAGGAAGAACATGCCAAAAGAGGAGTATCAATACTTATATTGAAGAAATACAAAAAGAATATATCGAACTGGCAAGCAATAAATGAAAGAATCATAAAGATCAACCTCAACTTGAAAGGATTAAAAATAACAATAATAGGCACATACGGTCCGAATGATGATGCACGCCTAGAAGAAAAAATAAAATACTATGAAGTCCTAGATGAAACTATCTCTCAAATAGGTCAAACAAGGGAAACTATTATACTAGGTGACCTCAACGCAAGAACTGGTAGAAGAATAAAAGATAAAACAATAGGACCATATGGAGAAAACACTACAAACGATAATGGCAATAACTTAATAGAAATGTGTAGACACAACTCACTAAGGATCATGAATGGGTATTTCAAACATAAGGAAATACATACATATACATGGACTCAGCCTACAAGAAACTTAAGATCAGTAATTGATTACCTAATAATGAAACAAAAATCTAAAATAAAAGTGCATGACGTAAGAGTATTTCGAGGAGCCGAATGTGGAAGTGACCACCATCTAGTAAAAGCTAAAATGATACTACCGCTAAGCGGAAACGGTAAACACCAACAAAACAAAAATTTAAATGAAAATCACTCAGCAGAAGGTGAACAACTGCAGTATAATCTAACAAGTTTAGACAACGATAGTACTAGAGAATTGTATAAAAAAAGATTGGAGCAACAACTACCACAGGAATTTAAACATAAAACAACAGAAGAGTTACATAGGATAATAAGAAAGGAATACATCAAGCGGCCAAAGAAGCATTAGGAATAAGAGTAAACAAACTCAGAAAGACAAATAATTGGTGGAATGATGAACTACAGGAAATGAAAGATCAAAAGCAAAAATTATATCACAAATGGCTGGGAACAAAGGATCAAGAACACAAAAGAGAATATAGAGAAATGGTAAATAAATTTAAATCCACGATAATAGAGTCAAAAAAATCAAAGCTGGGAGAGAAAATGTCAGGAATTAGATACGTATATTGGCGGCCGCAAATCAAGAGAATCCTGGAGATTTATAAAAAACATCAGATCCAACAGAACAGAACAAATAGCCATACACTCCATAGAGCCCGAAAAATGGGAAAAGCACTATAAAACACTGTTAGTAGAAGAAAGACCGGAATTCAAAAACATAGAACAACATGAAATCCTGATTCAAGGAGAGCCTCCAACAATTAACATCGAAGAAACTAAAAAAGCTATATCATTGTTGAAAAATGGACGTGCTCCGGGCCCAGAGGGGATATATGCAGAGTTAATAAAAAATGGAACCAACAAACTATTCGAGATACTAACAGAAGTTTTCAATAGGCACTTGCACGGAGAACCAGTGCCACAAAGTTGGAAAGAAGGATGGATTACATCTATCCATAAAAAAGGAAATAAGGAAGATTGCAATAACTATCGGGGTATAACTGTTACGAGTACGCTTAGCAGATTATATGGGAGAATTATAAAAGAACGCATATGCGAAGAATACTGTCCCTTTGAATCAGAAGAACAAAACGGATTCAGAGCGGGACGATCCACAATAGATAGTATTTTTTGCTTATCCCAAATACTCGAGAAAAGAACACTGAGATCTCGAGAAGTGCATTTACTTTTAGTCGATTTAACAAAGGCATATGACACCGTGCCTGTTGCGAAATTGTGGGAAGTATTGGAGAAAACCAGTATCAGCGTTTCACTAATCGACGCTATTAAAGATCTATATAACAACACAATATCAAAAGTTAAAATAGGAAATAAGGTTACTAATGGTTTTCAGGTAACAAAAGGACTGAAGCAAGGTTGTTGTTTATCTCCCATACTATTTAATATATATATCGACGAAGCACTCAGGCAATGGAAAAAGAAGTGTAAAGGGATGGGGCTGTCTATTGGGGATGAAACGTTATACACGCTGCATTATGCAGATGACCAGGTAGTTATTGCCCAAGACAAGGAAGACCTAGAGTATATGGCTAGAAAACTAATGGAAGAGTACAAAAAATGGGGCCTCGAAGTAAATTTACAAAAAACGCAATATCTTTGCATAGGAGGAGAAAATACTGCAGAATGACCTCGACTTAGAAGACGGGAAAATTAAGAAATGCGATCAATGTATATATTTGGGGGTAAAACTAACAAAGACAGGAAGAACTGATGAGGCCATAAAAGACAGAATAACCAAAGGGAAACGAGTTATAGGTGCATTGAATTCAGTACTATGGCAGAAAAATATAAGACCGGAAACGAAAAAAAGAATATATAACACAATATTGAAACCAGTAATCGTGTATGGCTCAGAAGTATGGCAGTTATCACAAAAACTTAAAGGTAACCTCTTGGCAGTTGAAATGGATTTTTGGAGGAGAGCAGCGGGAAAGTCTCGATTAGAACATGTGAGAAATGAGGACATAAGAAATCAAATGAATGTACAAAGATCAATTATAGAAGACATCGAAAAACAACAACTGACATGGTACGGACATGTTAGACGTATGGGGGAAGAAAGACTACCAAAAAAAATATTAGAATGGGTACCACCAGAGAAAAGAAAACGAGGACGACCACCAACAACATGGATGCAAGGAATTTCAAAAGCCATGTCAGCAAGAAATCTATTTGAAGAAGACTGGCAGAATAGACAGGCTTGGCGAACGGGAACCCAAAGGCGGATTACGCTATAAACGGGATATATATATATATATATATATATATATATATATATATATATAATATTATATATATATATACATTTTATCCGAGGGGACCATTTTACCCGACTTTCCTCTATTATATAAACGTATATATAATTATTTTCATTTTATTTATAAGCAAATATCCTTCAAAAAGAAAGCGTTTTACAACCTCTGACAGCGATGAAATGTAGATAATATAATTGCAAAAAACTCTTTATTCATTATTAGCTATATTTACTATAATAAAATAATCCACATTTTTTTCAAGCCATTTTCTGGTATTAGCCAATAACAGCCTGTACTGCAAAATCAAGGTGAGAAGGATTATAGTTAACATGTCAATATGACCTAAAAACAGCCTACTTATATCTTTCATTTTACTTTATGTAGAATAACAGTAAAAGACTTACCTGGCGCTCTCATGTAACAACTAGAATGCATATCTGTTGTCACCGTATTTGATGACGTAGATCTTTGTTTTGAAGAATAAGTTGTTGTCAAAGCTGAATTTATAAAGGGAATTAAATCCTCATTTCCCCCTTTTCCATGATCAATATAAAAGGTATTATTGACGAACTGAATATTTCCATCTCTATCCGTACCCACTTCGTAGTTGCTTAGTACGGGATTTCTCTTACCGATAATTGCGAAATTTTTTTCTATGGGAAGCCAGAGCTTAACTGGTTTTTTAAGCTTGTAAGCCGCCACTGCGGCGGCACTTGAAACTATACCATGTCTTACGAGTTTTCCGCCAAAAGCACCTCCTATACGTTTAACAATTACATTTATTCTGCAAAAGGAAAATACAATTTTAATGATGGCGTGCCTTTCTAAATATTATTAACCACTTGCCTCCAAACTACACTAAAGACTAAAGAAAGAAAGAGGTGTATAGCTAAACGTGAGAAAGGTTAGTTGTACCCTAATGGTGACTTGTAATTGTGATTGCCGTCTATTTTTAAACTGTTCAAATGTTTTGGAAAAGATTTGGGTTCTAGGGAAAATGTAACGTAATAAACATGTATATATCTCTCTCTAACGGTAGATAATGTCCGAGATCAACAATGTCGTCGCAGATTAAGGCGATGTAACTGACAACAATGATATTGTTTATTGTATGTAATCTGTATCTGTAAGTCAGTTTAATAAGCGCCCTTACACACAGTGGTTTTATACAACAGTGAACAGAATTGTTTGTAGTATTATTAGTGGAAGGCGCTTACGTTTACTTTTTCTGAGTTGTGAGTAATTTAGTTTTATCTAGTTTGGTGACAAATAATAAATATGACTTAGATCTAAAGTTTTTGATGCATGCATTATTCCGATATTAACTTATGCGGCACAAACATGCACAATCATAAAAAAGAATATGAATATACTTAGAGTCACTCAACACGCGATGGAAAGAGCAATGCTAGGTATATCACTTAGAGACAAGAAAACAAACACATGATAAGACAGAAAACCAAAGTCACCGATGTGGTGCAAAAATCATTAAAATTGAAATGGGAATACGCTGGACATGTAGCTAGGAGCGATCTAAACAAATGGCACAGATCAATTTTAACCTGAAGACCATACCAACACAGAAGACCCAGAGGCAGACCTCCTATGAGATGGACAGATGATCTGAAAAGGACTGCCGGGAAAAATTGGCTACAAGTAGCGTACAATAAAAAACAATGGAAAGGAAGACTTGAAGAGGCTTATGTTCAGATGTGGACGTGAATGGCTAGACGAAGAATAAATATAACGGACAGTAGTAATAGTGAACCGTATATCAAAAAGAAACGTTACGATTTGACACCAGAAGAAAAAGCTATGATCGGAAATGTGTTTGGAAGAACTTCAAGCCAAAGAAAAAAATATGAATGTAAGCGATGTAGTTACATTATGTAGTATTTTTACAAAAGTTTCAGAAGCTAGTATGTACAGAGTGAAACAGACGATGAAACTATCTATCTATCTAATTAGCCTTCTTCGGTCCATCTTTAGACATAGGCCTCCCCAATTCCTTTTCCTTTCTTCTCTGTCTGTCGCTACAGTCATCCACCTAGAGCCCACGTGCTTCTTAATATCATCTGCCCATCTCATTTGGGGCCTTCCTCTGCTTCGTTTATATTCCCACGGTCTCCAACAACAAGAATTTTGTTCCATCGGGCTTCTTTTTGTCTTGTGTCCGGCAAATTTCCATTTCAATTTTGCAACTTCTTGTCTAACATCCCTCACTTTTGTTTTCTCTCTTATCCATTCGTTTCTTTTTTTATCCATTAGTCTTATGTGCAACATTTGTCTTTCCATTGCACTTTGTGTTTTTATGATTTTGTCCTTGTTTGCTTTTGTAAATGTCTACGTTTGGGAACCATAAGTAAGAACAGGGAGCAAGCATTGATTGTATACTTTGGTCTTAAAATGCTGTAGATATCTTTTGTTTTTAAGAATGTAGCTTAGTTTGCCACATGGCGCCCATGCCAGTCTAAATCGTCTCTTTATCTCTGCTGTTTGTTTCTCTTTGTTAAGTTTTATAGTTTGACCAAGATATATATAATCCTGAACTTGTTCTATTTCATCTTGTCCGATTCTCATTGTGATGTCTTCATCTGTATTTGTTATGGTTTTGGTCTTGCTGTAATTCATATTAAGGCCTATCTTTCCAGCTTCTACGTACAGTTCTTTCATCATTTCAAATAATTCTTCTTTTTTATCAGTTTGATACAAAAATGATGAAATACGATGAAACAAACGATTATAATACTTTCAAGGTTAAGACAAGAGGAATGAAACAAATAAAATTGGATGATACAAATAAACAGGCCATTCGTCGTCCAGTACGTGCATTTTATTTCAAAAAGGAATTACCAACTATAAAAAATGCTTTTCTCTTCAATCCGCCGAAAATATTCCAAAAATATCAAGATGTGTTTTGTTAGGTACTTTACGTGAAATAAACTTTAGGTATTTAAAGAGAAAGAGGAATAGTACCCTTATTAAAAAAGAAGAAATCATTTTATGGCACAGAAAATGTATGAAATAAATAGTGAAATAGGGTGTCTTTTTCCCTTTCAATTCGGTACAGACAATTTTGAAGCCCTGCCCCCAGATATCCTGAAGTAGGTTACTCCACATTTCTTTCTTAGATCTTCTTGTCTCATTCCTGTATTCATTTTGCATTCACTATATTTCATTTATTATCTCTTCCAAATCCACTGCTTGTACTCTTCTTAACCTCTTACACTCCCTTCTTACTCTCATGCAGTTTGTCCTCAGATTTTCAAGCTGCTAGTTCCACCAGTATGGTTGTTTTCTTTCATACCTTCCATTTGATCGTACACAAGCCAACTCCTGCGCATCACTCAGGCCCTCAATTCACACACACACATCCCGGACCAATCAAGCCAAAAACATCTACAAAAACCTCCTGATTAAAACATCTCTTTAGATTGATATCCCCATTTTTACGTTTTTGTCTTTTGGTCTATTTCAAGACTAGTCTATTTTTGGTCTGTCTATTTCAAAACTCACATACTTGTGTAAGCTAAGCGATTCTTCTTCCAAAACAGTCCAGCTTACGACTCTGTTTAGAAATTTGGTTGAAACCAGTGTGATGTCCACGTCAATGGATTCACTATTACTTTCGCCCACACCATTTTGCGTCCACACCATTTTGTGCCCACACAATTTTTCTCCCACACAATTTTGCGCCCACACATATTTGCGCCCACACCATTTTGCGCCCACACATTTTTTCGCCCACACCATTTTTTGCCCACACCATTTTTCGCCCACACCATTTTGCGCCCACACCATTGTGCGCCCACACCATTTTTTGCCCACACCATTTTGCGCCCACACCATTGTGCGCCCACACCATTTTTTGCCCACACCATTTTTCGCCCACACCATTTTTCGCCCACACAATTTTGCGCCCACACCATTTTGCGCCCACACAATTTTGCGCCCACACAATTTTTCGCCCACACAATTTCGCGCCCACTGCATTTTTCGCCCACACCATTTTGCGCCCACTCCATTTTGCGCCCACACCATTTTTCGCCCACACCATTTTGCGCCCACACCATTGTGCGCCCACACCATTTTTTGCCCACACCATTTTTCGCCCACACCATTTTTTGCCCAAACAATTTTGCGCCCACACCATTTTGCGCCCACACAATTTTTCGCCCACACAATTTCGCGCCCACAGCCTTTTTCTCCCACACCATTTTGCGCCCACTCCATTTTGCGCCCACACCATTTTGCGCCCACACCATTTTTCGTCCACACCATTTTGTGTCCACACCATTTTGTGCCCACACAATTTTTCGCCCACACCATTTTGCGCCCACTGCACTTTTCGCCCACACGATTTTGCGCCCACACATTTTTTCACCCACACCATTTTTCGCCCACACTATTTTTCGCCCACACCATTTTGCGCCCACACAACTTTGCGCCCACACCATTTTGCGCCCACACCATTTTGCGCCCACACCATTTTGGGCCCACACCATTTTGCGCCCACACCATTTTGCGCCCACACCATTTTGCGCCCACACCATTGTTCGCCCACACCATTTTGCGCCCACACTAATTTTTTGCCCACACCATTTTGCGCCCAGATCATTTTGCGCCCACACAATTTCGCGTCCACACCATTTTGGGCCCACACCATTTTGCGCCCACATCATTTCTCGCCCCACCATATGCGCACACAATTTTTCACGCCCAAATAATTTTGGGCCCACACCATTACCCCGTCTACTCGGGGTATCTCTATTTGTCGTTGCCTCCTGACCCGACATAGTCTATTTTGTCTTTATAACAATGTATAATCTGATAGTCGTGTCAAAGAGAAATGAGTGTCAAAACCACGTTAATATAAAAGAACAGCGGTATACCGAGATCTTTGAAGAAACTTACTGAAAGAGGCCCAGACCCGACTTTGGCTGTAGTGCTATTGGATGGATGGATGGTTGGAAACCTGACTCACGACAAACCCGTCAAATCTTGACTAAACGCAACTAGTATAATTTTCAAATTTTACTTTGGAATATTGCAACTTTATAAAACATGTATAAGAGAGCAACATTTTTGTTAGAATAATTAGTGAACGCCATTAAAAAGTATATGTACACTGAATGTGTCACTGAAAACAGTCCTCCCTTATATTTGGCAATATTTTGTGAAGAGGCTGAAATAGGTTCTGTTTTCCATTGAAAATGTAAAACACAGATTTTTAAACTTCTTTAATATGTAAGTGGCTATTTGCACGTGCTATCAATACTCACTGGGAGTACATGTGGACACATCAATCATTCAGAATTTTTCGTTAGTAATTTTTTGTTTACAATAATAAAATTTAGTTCTTGAGGTTCCGTAATATAGACTTTTTTACAGGAAGAGGTTGTCAGCCTCTAGCCCAACCCCTAAATTTGGAGGGCCAGCGACTCTTCTGTTAAGGTTGCCATATCTTAGTCTGTTTTGGTTCGCTGTTGGTATTTTTATTTCCCACCTATCCGCCGGTCCTGACTGGTTAGGCCGTTATCCACCACCTAGGGATGCGTCCGATGGGAGACAGACAACTCCACACGGATAACTCGTTTCCTTATCCATGATACCATAATGGGACTACAGCAGCTCATAAAAGAAATATGGACACATAAATGCCTCCCCAATTATTGGAATATTGGAATACTTTACAGCATACACAAAAAATGAGATATCTTTGAATGCTCTAACCGCAGAGGAATTACGCTTCTAAATTCAGCATATAAAATATTTTCCACAGTA